GCCATTTGTTGGCATTACGAAAGTTATTCACTTTTGAGTGAGACCGAACAAAAACAAAAATTGGCCCATATTTAGTTATGGAATAATTTCTTGACGAAGTTTCAATTATTTGCGGCTTGACGATACTTAAGTTCTCGGAGGGTAGACTGGTTTCGGTGGAAAACGCCAGTTTTTCAGGGTGCTTTCCACACTATTTTCAACTGTTTTGGTTGTTAGCGCCGAACTTACCAGTAGGTGAGCTGTGATTTTGATCTTTTCCGCAGGGGAAACAAACTAAAAAGTTGTCTAACATTTATTTGATATTGTGTTCCCTGCCCAAAACGTGACTTTAGTTTTGTATTTAAATGACTATGTATAAGAGAGCGATTATACCCATAATGCCCTCGTTATTAGCAGTTTTGATTTTAATGTTTTGTTGTGTTGTTTTTTTTTTCCTGATGTTTATTTGTTTATTTTTTTTAATTTTTTTTTTTTTTGAATTTTTAAATATTTGTGGGATTTTTTTTTTTGCAAAAATTATGGAAAAGATTCTGAGTGGAATCACGATTCCCATACAGAATTGGGATCAATTAAAAAAATGCTGAATTCGCCCAAGCCTACTATATTGTATATTGACCGATAATGTACGGAGTCTACTTAACAGGGCGGATCATCCTTTTTGTATGCAAAACCAGCTATAAATAAAAAAGTGTTTCCAAAGCGTTGTAGGTACTCATAAGAAATATTTTTTTTTAAATGGAGGTTTTTGTATTAAAATAATGTAAACAAGTTGAAAAGTTGTCCGGCGAAAAGAAAATTGAATTCATTGAATAACACGAAGAGTACCTCTTCAATGACTGAGGATAAATTTATATGTACGAACAGGTTTTCTTTAACTGATCGTAGACAATGAATCACATCAGGGGTGCCTTTTTTTCCCCCTTGAACCGAGATCACAGCATTAGTATGCAGCTATTTCAGCAGATCAGTCAAGGTCGCAAAGGTCGTGTCAAGTACACATTACCTCTAATGGCCTCACATGGGCACACAGGTGTGTGGCACTCCACCCCACTTGCTACTGTGGAGTTGTTCTTCAACACAGTCCTTTACCAATGACAAAACAGTTAAAGGGAATATACAACATTTGCAAACATCGAAAAATAAAACTACCAAGTTTTTACGAAATACCGTAATAGGATGTTGGTAAATGACAGTCTTAAGCATCCTGTAAAATTATGGCACCTGCTTTGAAGTCATTTTCAAGAAAATGGTATTTTTGTAAAAAATTTCCAGCGGTGGTCGGCACCGCCGTTGGACAAACCTTACTATATTTCAACTTCTGCTCCAAATTGACCATTAATTCAGTCCAAATTTTGTTTGCTATTGGTTACATGTTCTTGAACGGGTGCAGGCCAGCTAGACTGGTACCCTTACCTAACAATTTTCCGGCATCTGTAAATTGATCCATTTCATATTTAGTGGAGTCAGGGAGCCAGACTACTTGAACGATTTTGTTTTCCTGGTTTTTTCCAGCATTTCCGAACACAAAACTTCAAACATGTCAGTGTAACAATATTTGATCTATTATACTAACCCCTCAAATAGTTCATTTCTGAAAATTACAGCAAAAGCCAATGATGCACATTGTATATTCCCTTTAAGTGTGTGATAAAGGTACAGACAGTTGATGACAAATATAGGACACACGTACATGATTTGTAATGAATAATACCAGCAGTATAGAAAAATGGGTGTTGGCTTTTAATATTGATGTCATGGTTCACCTGTTTTCTGTAAACATACATACATGTACATGTACATGTACATGTATGACATGTTGTACAATATACATGTATATATTATTTACTCATGCATACATGTTACAGTGCAGTACATCTTCATGTGTAGTGCCATTGCATTGTAATTTGTACATGTATGTACGGTACACTTGTACATGTACATGTATTGTACATAAACATGCAGTTCATGAACAGTGCTGTAGTACTGCAGATTGTACAGGTTTATTTACATACATTTCAAGTACATGTACAGTGCACTACAATGTACAATGTACATGCTTATGTGCAGTGCTGTTGTACCAGTACAGTAGATTGTACAGTACATGTTCTTCATGTTCAAGGTGCAAAACATGTTGAAGTGCAATACTGTAGATATGCACGTATACTCATGCACTAATGTTCATATATGTGTACATGTACCAGTACATTTACGTGCAGTGCACATGTTTACAAAATGTACATGTATTTTCAGTGCTGTAGTGGTGTAGATTGTACATGTTCATTCATGCACTATATTCATTTACAGTTCAGTACATTCGATATTAGGTTTTGCCCTTCACCGACGTGTGAACACTCTACAGGGTGAGTAAAAAAACAACAACAAATGTCGGGACTATTGTTTTATTGAAGTTCTGCATGCAGCACTTTCAAAATCTAGGCCATGAAAGCCCAATTCATAAGCTTTCTTTTAGTACAAGAATCATTCAAATCACTCATGTACTTTTCAAGTTACATAATTTTAAACACAACTACCATTTTAAAGTTCTGTCCACGGATCACAGAAAAGGTGTGCATTCTTTCAGCAAACGAAAATAATTCACACATACCCCTATGTGATTTGTTTTCGTTGTGCTGAAAGAACACTAACCTTTTTTTGTGATCCGTGGACAGAACCTTAAAACGGTGGTTGTGTTTAAAACTATGTAACTTGAAAAGAACATGAGTGATTTGAATGATTCTTGTACTAAAAGAAAGCTTATGAATTGGGCTTTCATATCCTAGATTTTGAAAGTGCTACATGCAGAACTGCACTAAAACAATGGTCCCGACATTTGGGTTTCGTTGTTTTTGACTCGCCCTGTATACTCAATGTGTTACCTCCCCGAGTGAAAGTTTGAAAAAATCACTCGGGTGGGACTCCAACCCACGACCTCCTGCTTTCTTGTGCAATCAGACGTATTACCACTCGACCACCGAGCTCAAATCTGACGTGGCGAATCAGCCAACCGAACCCGGCAAGCTCGGTTTGCTGAATAGTTTTCGGTGGTGTACATGTACACGTACATACGTATACCGTACATGAATGTTTACTCTTCTGTGAAAAACATCAAGATCATTGTATCTAAAGATGTGTACACATCTATACATGTAGTTCAAAAAAATTGTTAGAATGTAACATCCAGTTTGATTCGAAAATTTTAACAAACGATTCAGGTTGCACACTAAATCAAACAAACAAACACATTGATTTCAGACAAATGGAGGGGAAAAGGCGGGTGACTCAGATTATGTGCACATTATGGTACAGATGTTGCACATGCAATCTCATATAGGTAGACCTGCATGTTGACATGTGTCATGCTGTGTGTTGACTTAACCTCTTGAAAACAGGAGATCAATGAAAAATACAATGGAGCACGCCACTCTTTCCTCTTCGCACAGCAGTACTTAAAAGCAGACGCACATCCCACACGAAGATTTTTGTTTTTTCGTGTAGTCTTAGGCCAAGTAAAAAAATTAATAGTTTCTCGTCTGGCTTTTTATAAAAATGAAAGGAGGCAGCCTGTTCGTTCGTACTCCCGCCCTGCAAACAGGGTGCTGGGAAGGGCTGATGCCACTTAACAGAATCTTGTGAAGGAAGTAGGGATGGCATTATGGGTAACTTACCATGACCTTCGCATGCGGCTAGCGCGCTATGTATGATAAACAGGTGTAGCTGTTTGTATGCTGCATTGTACGTCACTAGGTCGCGCAAAATCTATCCAATGAGAGCTCAAAGAGATCAGCCCTTCCCAGCGTCCTGTTTGCAGGGCGGGGGGTACGAGCGAAGCCAAGATGGCGAATTTTCAAAGATGGCGGATTTTCCAAGATGGCGAATGGGTTCTTCCATTTTGAACTTTCATATACATGTAGATTTTGAACTTGCATATAGAGTTTTGCTGGAAACAAATGAAAAGATACAATAAATGTAAATCTACGATTAAAAAAAAATTAAAAAGTGAGCCGGGAAAAGGAAGTGGGCCAGGGCGAGAAACAGGTTTTTGTTTTACTTGGCCTTGTTGTAATCACATGCGTATTTTCTTGCTTTACTAGGAACAAATAATAAGTAACCTGCATGAAATGCATTCAAAGAAGTATGGAAGCAATGGAATATATGTATTTTTTTCAATTTTCTGGAATGGTTGTTTTATATTTGGATAACATTCCCGTTTGGAACACTTCATCAAATTTCGGTATTAGTTTGCAGCGAAACTTTGTGTCGAATTTCAGAAATTTGATTTATTTTTACTTTCGCCCTTGTATATGGAATCATGGTACAGCCTGGTATCGTACCATTGTACACGTGCACACACCAAACCATACAGGATACGTTAATGTTTGTTCAAAGTTTCAAGGAAATGCAACTGATTTTAAATTGTCATGTACGTGGCATACATGATGCATCAGACAGAAAAATTCAATTGCTTCCTGTAATTTATGATCAGATTCATTAAACCATTGTGCCGCGGTATGACTTCTCGTACAAAACTTGCACGTGTACAAGATTTGCCCCCAGCCCTGATGAAGGACAGATGTCCGCAAATTTGGCACCTCTAAACGATCAGCGGTGAGCACTGATATTGTTTAGATTTACATTTATGTATTTGTACTGTTTACTTCGTATATGTACAGTACGTGGCGTTTTGTGATCACTTACGAGATCCCCAGTGCGAGGGACACTCCGCGTGCCCGTAGTGGTTACGGCACGAATGGCGCAAGGTACGCATGCCTAATTTTATTCTGAACGTTCGCAAATTTGAAGCGTCTTCGCGTGAGCATCAAACGCCGTCAGCAATGCACTCGAATGTCTCTCCCAGTGGTCTCCCCCAACTCTCCCTTTGTAAACTGTTGAGGGGGTACTTGTGCACGGAGTCCATCCCTAGTGAACAACAAAGTAGACGCACAACTGTTCAGACTTTTTATGCAAATTTCTTTTTACTTCTATCTCCTCCCAACTTGCAGGATGATCGGCCCGTCGCCCCTCCCATGGCTGTGTGTAGTTGTTGCCAGGGAACGGCTGAGTGTAACCGGGAGGGCAAGCCGGAACCGCTGCTGTCGTGCGTCGATTGTGGGAACAGCGGTAAGAAAGAAGTCAAGGCTTGTAAAAGAGATTTAGTTTAGGAGTCCATCACAAGTCACAAGTACGTGTAAGTCACAAGTCCAGTCACAAGTCCAGTCACAAATCCATCACAAATCCATCACAAGTCCATCACAGGTCCAATCACAAGTCCATCACAAGTCCAGTCACAAGTTCGGTCACAAGTCCGGTCACAAGTCCAGTCACAAGTCCAGTCACAAGTCCAGTCACAAGTCCATCACAACTGATGTGAGAGAGGCAATTGTAGTAAAGTGTCTTGCCCAAGAACACAAGCACCATATTCCCCGTCGGGTTTCGAAACCCATCCAATTGTACACGTATGTATCCTACAAACCATAACCATTGCACCATGACCCTTTACAAAACTGATGTGAGAGACTAGAGAGGCAATTGTAGTAAAGTGTCTTGCCCAAGAACACAAGCACCATATTCCCTGTCGGGGTTTCGAAACCATGTCCCATTGGACATGTATGTATCCCACGTACCTTAACCATTGCACCATGACTCTTTACAAAACTGATGTAAAAAAAAAATGCACAATTTTGTTTAAGGTTACCCCGTTTTATTTATAATAAACTCTTTTTGGGGGGCTGTTTATCTTGTTCAGCACACCCATCCTGTCTGCAGTACTCGGCCGTACTGACTGAGAGAGTTCGTCAGATCTACTGGCAGTGTGCCACTTGTAAAACATGTGCAATCTGTGACAAGCGGGGAGATCAGGTAGGTGGACTGTTAACATTTGCGATTTCACCTACGCTACGTCGAAAAAAAATGAAGGACGGCTAGAAAGTAGCCAGACGAGTAACTTGGGCCAGTAGGCTTCTACAAAACCGGTTTTGCTGGCCTATATTCATTTTCTTTGTACCTGATTGACTGACTGATTGATTGACTAACTGACTGTTACTTGTGAATTAGATTTGCGTAAGTCTCTCCCTGGCCAAACGTTTGAGTTTGCTGTTCCCAGAGGGCCAGCCAGCAGTCCTTTTTTTGAGGTCTTCTTTCAAAGACTGACTCACTCACTGACTGGCACTTGTGAAATAGACTTGCATTTAAGTCTCACCTTGGCCCAAAAATTGACTTCTCTGGTCCCGTACCGACTGACTCACTGACTGACACTTGTGAATTAGACTTGCATAAGTCTCACCTTGGCCCCAAAATTGACTTCTCTGGTCCCATACTGACTGACTCACTCACTGACTGGCACTTGTGAATTAGACTTGCATAAGTCTCACCTTGGCCCCAAAATTGACTTCTCTGGTCCCGTACTGACTGACTCACTCACTGCCCGTCACTTGTGAATTAGACTTGCATAAGTCTCACCTTGGCCCCAAAATTGACTTCTCTGGTCCCGTACTGACTGACTCATTCACTGACTGGCACTTGTGAATTAGACTTGCATAAGTCTCACCTTGGCCCCAAAATTGACTTCTCTGGTCCCGTACTGACTGACTCACTCACTGCCCGTCACTTGTGAATTAGACTTGCATAAGTCTCACCTTGGCCCCAAAATTGACTTCTCTGGTCCCGTACTGACTGACTGACTCACTGACTGGCACTTCAGAATTAGACTTGCATAAGTCTCACCTTGGCCCAAAAATTGACTTCTCTGGTCCCGTACTGACTGACTCACTCACTGACTGGCACTTGTGAATTAGACTTGCATAAGTCTCCCCTTGGCCAAAAATTGACTTCTCTGGTCCCGTACTGACTGACTCACTCACTGACTGTCACTTGTGAAATAGACGTACATAAGTCTCACCTTGGCCCAAAAATTTAACTCGGATGACTACCTAGACCCCTTAGACAAAATTGGTGTGGTACCAAACCAATGTTAAAAACAAGTGTCGCTCTTGAAATCATACCATAAATCAGTGAGGATAGCAGCAGCTGTCATTTTGAATAAATTTCTTGGGTTTTTTTTCCCCCCCTTTGTAGGAGCTGATTTCATGTGCGTGGTGTGGCAGAGGACACCACCTGGGCTGTGTCAGACCACAACTCAAACGAGTACCCAAAGGTAACGTCAAACAGAGGAGTGTCAATGACCCACGTGACCTGGCCTACGGTACATCCGGTTACCGGAAAGTCAGCGTCGCCATTGCAGTAGGCGTAGATCGAATAGCGCCGCGCACTGTAGGTGGTAGGCAAGCCTTCAAAGCTGTGATGGATGGCAACAACTGTGAGAAAATCACGGAGCCAACACCCAGTGCTGAGGCGGAATGATTAATGACAACCTTAAGCCCGGTTCATACTTCACGCAAAAGCAAGTGAGAAGCAAAATTCTATTTGTCAACAATGGCGGACGCGCTTTGATGGTATTATTGACGTCACGAATTTCGCTTCGCTTTCATATTATGACAATTATACCACTTTCGAGAGCACGCCACGTGTACTGGTTCGCTTGCGTTAAGTGCAAAACACACACCATGGGTTTATTCTGAATGTGCACAAAGCGTTCGTGTCTTCGCGGGAGTGTCAGGCGTCATCGGCAATGCGTTGGAATGTCTCTCCCAGTGGTCTCCCCCAACTCTCCTCCTCTTACCGTTGAGGGGGGTACCTGTGCGCATAAGTTGGAAGGATTTTTGCTGGGGAGTAACCTGCAATGGACTGGCATGCTCTACAGATGATATAGTAATCAGTGTTTTCAAGCCGTGGGAAACGACAGCGGGATGGACCATATTGGCTTGCAACAGACTTTGATTTCAAAACACTCTTTGCTCGTTTTCATTCACAGGACCCTGGAAGTGCAAGCTTTGCAAAACTGGAAAGTGGCAATCCTTGAAGACGTCATCGTCCTCTTCTTCAACTGCAGCCTCCTCGGGCCTGAAGAGGAGCTACCAGACCAAGCTGGGCAAGTCCAACAAACTGAAGCTCCAGTCGGTCAAATCGGCACCCCGCAGAACGTAAGTTGTACTTTTTTTATAAGATGGAATTTGCATCGGCGATATGTGACTTTTATAGTGGGTTTGCCCTTAGCTGGGTGCAGGCATGTAAATAGGCCCGAAATTGCCTACGCCGGCCAAATCACGATTTGCATGCCCGCAAATTCTCCGGTATTAGAGCATTTTGATGGCCGCGAACTTGAGGGTTTGTAAAAAGAATGGTGGAAGCCATGCAGTGCGAGCTCGTATTTCTGTGAAATTCGGATGAAATTGGGCCCTAAAATGGCTCCATTTTGCAATGGAGCGTACGCATCCTTTGTCAAAATGGCGATGGGCTTCAGGACTGCTTTTAGAGGTGATCATCTTTGGATGGAATTTTCTTCAAGAAGTCATTGGTTAACCCCCCCCCCCAAAAAAAAGGAACAGAAAATGAAAGTTGATGAAATTAGCTTTAATTTGAGGTGTGTCGCGAACTCCTTGGCAAGTGCGCGTAATTATCACTGAGGTCTATGGCAGTCGATTTACTGGTCTGCAACTGACCATGCTCTGTCAGCCCCTGCCCTGTGGCTCATCTCGACTGATCGGCTGGCGTGGGTGGCTCAACGTCCCATAGCTGGATTTGGAGACTGATGATGATGATGATGAACCAGTGTATACACTGTATACTCAATGTTGTCTGAGGACTAGCTAGAAAAAAAATTCACAAGCTCACTCGTGTGGGACTCGAACCCACAACCTCCTGCTTGCTAGTGCAAACGTCTTACCACTCGACCACGGAGCTTGCCGGGGTCGGCTGGCTGGTTCGAATCTGATGTAGTTACGGGTTCCCGCAACAAAACTTGTACTTGTAACTCTTCTAGTCCTTTGCACTTCAAGTGTTTTCCTCCACACTTTTGCCCGCAGAGTTAGCACCCACACTTCAATATCCTTAGAGGTGATCTTCTGTGGAGTATGGATAACACTTCAAAACGCTCAGCACATTTTTTTTGGTGTGTGGTTAAGCTCAGGGCAAGCGGGCAGATACGGTCACGCTTCACTGCTCTCCACAGTGCTATGTACTCTCTGTGTGACTCAATACTGCAACACTTCATAACCCATTCAGCTGAAGGGTTTATGTTTAAAAGCAAATGTTGTATATTACCTTTGAAGATTGTAGAAAAGTAATACTTGATTTGTAGCAACAAATATGCTTATATCAATAACCTTGTATACTCAACTATTTATAAACCAAAATGGCATCGAAACAATTCCCTCACTTGTGCAAGAATAAGACCTACATGTATTGTTAATACAGAATGATCCGACAGTGTCACCCATTAGCCTCTAGTGTGGCTCTGCTTGTACACCACACTACTTAGCCGGTACCCCGTATCTTTCCGGACAAGGTGCATGCCTGTAACCGCATCACACATTGATCACCAACTAATAGTTTGGCAACCCCGATTCACCCGTTATCAGTATAGTCTCGGACCCACCCTTTATCAAGCCAACAAACTCAGGAGTGTTGAGTCTTGGCTGAATCACCTGCTTGTACGGAGACTAACCTGCTTGTATGGAGACTAATATCCTCCTTGCCAAGGATGTCTCCAACTTATTTTTTTTATAAAAAAAAACGCGTACGCGTTTCTAGTGCATTCAACACTGAATGCATCTTGCATCCTGTGGGTGCATGATGCCATAGGTCATTGACATCGGGGTTTCGACACACACAGTGCACTTGATCAAAGTGGGCTGTACGAGTCACGAATCGGGGGAAATTTGGAGCTCTCCCCCCGCGCGATGTGCCAAAGCGTGAATCACGTCGACCCAGTTCGTGCAAGGTCGGCCGACAGGAGCGGATTTTCGTTTTCTTTCTGATATTTCCTTCGGACTGCAAAGTTGATGGATCGGTTTGTCAAAGTCATCAATCAAGACTGCTTTAAAAAAAAATAAAAATTGCGACGTACTATTTTGGCAAAGGGCAAAGCGGGGAAGATTTGAAAGCGTTTGTGGGTACTTTTCGTATACCTAGCCCTGATGAGAACAAGAAGACGTTGTTCAAAGGATGAGCGCGTTATCTTTGGAAATAACTTCTTGGGAAATTTCTCAGGGAAATAGCAGGGAAAAGTCAGTACATTTTCTTTTCAAAAAGTGCCGGGAACCCTCTAGTATAAGTGAAAAAGTCCAACTCGCAGATTTACAAGTAATGTTTACGGTTGCTTTTGTCCAACTTTAGAAATGATATAAACTGAGGGGAAAGGGTACAATAAGTGCACCGATAAGGTCATTTTGGTGAAATCACTTGGAACCTTGTTATATTACCAACGGAGTTGAAAGGGAAAGTCACACTTCCTGCGTCAAAAAAAAAAAGTTCTCAAGTTCTCGATATTTCTGGACGTTGACCAAGTTCTTCGCCAGACCTGGGGTGGGCCCACGCCTATTGTTTCCTGTCAAGGGGGTTACTTGCACACCCTCTCGGCAACTTTTTCTTGGGCGGTTTTTTGATGGATGTTGGAACCCGTGTGTGGAAATGTATCATCATCCGCCGTTCTCCCTGCGGAGGGGGGATTTCATAAAGGATCCTGAATTGAAGCAGCATGTCCGATATTGGTGATTTTTTTTATCTGACCTTAAGAAAGAAAGAAAAATTGAAATCTGTCAAGATCTGTGTTTGGATAGTTCCAGTAAGGGTGCTTTTGGCCCTGCATCCAAGCTATTGCACATTTCCTGGGTAGCATTGCCGAAGTTCCAAAAACTGCATTTGATTAATTTTGTCGATGTCAACCTCTACCGCCGTAACGGCTTTATCACGCTTACCAGGGACCGGCTGTATTAGGGAATTAAACCTAAATCAAGTCTTGAGCCAATACTAAAGCAGGCCTCAGGTCGACCTTGTGACGACACAGATCAGTCGGCAACTGACTTTTCAGGATCAAGCTGTGCCTGAGCTACGACCGTCGGGAACAACTCCGTCGCCGATTTTCTGTGACCTGAGTGTACCGGTAACTGCGATGATGTTAAGAAGGATGGGCATCAGCCGGCGCTCAAAAAAAATCAACAGTTCCTAGAGTAGAAAAATTTCAACCTCTGCGACGTGTTCCAGGACAATCACACGATTTCTCAGTTTTGCGACCTGAACATAATTTTTCTGCTTGATGCCGAGCCGACTGTTCCGTCGTGACGCAAGCAAATAATGGGTCGACCTGAGGCCGGCTTCAGGTGTGGTTGGAATTTCCTGGGTAGCACTGCCAAAGTTCCCAAAACTGGATTTGATCCATCTTGTTGATAACTACCTATACTGTAGCGGCAGCTTTACCATGTTTGTCAGAGATTGGCTTTATGAGGGGGAATAAAACTCCACCCCCAGTCTTGTGCCAAACTTTGCTGGGTAGGGAAGTTCCCGAGACTGGATTTGATTTTTTAATTTTTTAATTTTTTTTATTTCTTATTTTAACTGGGTAGCCCATTCAGTGGAATCCACTGATCTCCCATGGGTCCCAGTAAAGAGAAGACAATATGAAGAAATTACAGTTTTAGAGGTGGGAGGAAAAGCCCAGAAGAGTATTCTGAGGAAAACCCACGGAATCAGGTAGGGACTGAAAACCCAATCCACATATTGGCCCAGGCGGGAATCGAACCCAGGTCACAGCGGTGGAAGGCGAGGAAAGTACCGCTACACCAACCTGACTCCCCCATTATTATGATTCATTTTGTTGATTGCGACATTTACCACCGTGGGGAGAAAACCCAACCGCAGTCTCCGACCAAGCCTGAAAAACCTCCTGCCAATCATGTTTTAGACGACAGCATCGAAAAAGCCACTTCGTTATTATCACAAGACTTGGAAATTGCTTGATGAGTTCTTTCCCCTTATACCACGGAGGATCACGTTGTGGTACACCACAGTTTCATCAAAAACCACACTGCTCAAAAAAAAGGAAAGAAATCAATCTGCAAGTAGCTTCATTGCATGTCAGACGACTTCCGTGATTCATCGATGTGTATCCTCCCATTAGGCATGTATCTTAGTCGGTGAGATTAAGGCGTGATTCAGTTACGTCTCGTGAGATTTGTTAGCATTGTCAAGAATTGATTGTAAGCAATAGCGTTGATTACATACATGTAGGTGCAGGCATATATGCAGTTCTTGAAGGCATTTTGTTTGTTTCCATTAATAACATAAGAATGTTCAAAACCTAACCTGTGGAAGTTTCAGCTCGGTTAATATAAGACTTTAAAAAAACCACTTTTTAAGAAAACAGTAAAAAAAGTTGGATGACTTTTTATCACGAAGCATGATTTCATTGATAGCACTTTCACAAAGTGTTTAGTACCAGTAAAGTCCATCATTTGTAATTTGTGCATTTTGTTCGTTTGAAGCAACAAAAGTGCTCAAGATCTAAAGAAGGGTGCTTAACAACTAACCTGATGAAGTTTCAGCTCAGCTTTAGCTGTATATTTTGAGAAAAACAGCATTTTAGGATCTCTATTTTTTGAATTGGGCCTGAATTCAGCATTCGAGACACGTTCTCACTGAGCCAATTGCAGCTACGCGATGTCGCGCACTGATCCGACGAATTATAGCAACCGCGTGTGCGTCGTGCCAATGCTTGCGCGCGCTTTGCCGAATAACAAAACAAAGTACTAATTTGAATTTCCTACGGTGCGTTGGAAAGGCCTTCCTTCGATGATTTCTTCAAAATGACAGCTTGCCAGAAAAAAATAATTTCATAGGGAGTTTAGTCCCCTTACTATCTTTCAACCAAGTATGTTTTTCAACAATAATTACGCCATGCAGTTACTTTTTGGACAGCTGCAAATGATGGACTCTGGCTTTAATCCAAGTATAAATTAAAGCTTTTGATAATTTGGCAGGTTACTTTTGGGATTAATGTAAATGATTTTATATTCGTTGTCAGGACCCCCCCCCCCCCCCCCCCGAAAAGGGAAAACGGAAAGTCTTGAAATTGTTGACTTGATTGTAAAGCTCGCAATGTATAATTCAGTTTTATCAGTAAAACTTGAACCGTGTAAACAGTGTTCAATTGAATCTGTTGCCCTCCACTGATAAGAATCACCTGAGGGCGCTCTGTATAAACACATGCAACAGTATCGGGACTTGCGTCGCGCACCTCTGGTGTTGTTCCGCCTGCTTCGCAGAAATTCCCAGACTAAGAACCAGACACAGCAACCTCTTCCATTTCCTTTGAACACAGTGGCTCTGATCGGCATTGATCATAATTTTTACCGAGCATTTTTTTTTTTAAAGGTACACATTCAACCAGATTTCGCCAAAATTTCATATTTTTTTTTATTCTTTACTAATATCTCATTTCAAAGTTCCGGTTCACAGAAAATCCAAATCACGTCCTTACATTTATAGAGAAAATGTGGAAAAAGTCTAGGTTTTTTTTTTTGGTGTTTCTTTTTAAAGCTTTGAAATTTGAGTCAAGTTATCAAGAAAAGTCTGGTGCCACATGTGATAATCCACAGTGAGATATCAGGTCCCACGCTGGTTACAGACTTACACACTTGGCGATTCTAGCGCGCACACATTTGAAGAACGTGTTGAAATCGTGTGACTGAAATGAAGACTAATTTCCAATTGCTTGATTTTTGAGGACCAACATTTTTGTACCCCAAATTTCCTTAGTTCGGTAATTACACCAAAAAAAAAAGCAAAGTTTCAAGGTGAGGTTGTATGAACATTCTTATGGGGCAATACCAGCTATTTTATGTCCGTTACAGAGGTTTTTAGAGCTTCAATGAATAAACCGGAAAACATTTTTTTAAAATCTTAATACATCCATCATCTAGTAATGGTCAAGGAGATTAGGAGTCCTGGCAAATTCCAACACCACATGGGAAACTGCACACACATATTTCTGACTTTGATTTTTTTTTTCTGGAGGTGTGCCAACCCAATGTAAACGGCTGTCAGTTAAGGGGTACCGTACCCATCCTGACAGATTCCAACAAAACATGCCGTTGGGGTTTTGATGGGTTGGGGGACGTTAGGGTTTAATTGACTCTGTCACAGACAGTACACTTCCCTTCATTACTCTGAAATTGCCACGGATACTATTATTCGTTTCTTACTATTCTACTTCGCATTTTCAAGCACGAATGGGTGCAGTCTATCGAAAGTGCCCCTTTAAGCGCCAGCGGTCTGTCGCTACACAGGTGCCAGTTCAGTTAGGAGGAGGACGCACTTGATAAGTTAGTCCAGCCCACATGAAGGCCGCCGTACATTGGATGATTTCCTGTTAGCATTCATTCAGGATGCAGGGACTTAATAACACGTTACGAGTGGAGGCCGTGCTGTGTATTAATCAAAAGGGCTGCTACTGTGCGCGGTTTCTTGAATAACAGGGATGGCATCTCTTGTGTAATCAAAGCTTCGTTAAGCTTGAGCTATGTTTATCTGATTCTTTAGTAGTCTAACTGGAGATGGTATTATTTAGCGGAGCATGAATTTCAAAACATGATTACCACTTCTTTTTCTTGTTTTTATTTATCAATAATAATGGCTACAAGTTATAAAGTTTTCTTGATTGAGCTGAAAAATATGGATAGTATGCTGTTTTTTTGTTTTTCTTTTCAATAAAGCGTATCCTTTCTGATTGATTTCGTTTTCAATTTCCCAGGTTTGCAGCATTGCTAATGTTGCTATTATTGTGACTTTGTATTGGGTGTGGTTCTTGGCAACGTGGCATATACAGGTTTTATTGCTCGGACTAGCACCCTTGAACAAAGATAGTGATGAATTCAAAAACCGCCAACGTAGGGTTGGATAGCTCAGTTGCTCCGGAACGGTAATCCGGAGGTCATAGGTTCAAACCCGACTGCAGTCATTTTCTGGGAGGGACGCTGGAACGCACCCTCTCCATAGGTCTGGCGTTTTACCCCAGTATATCCCTCAACAAAATCAAAACCCTGCTCCCTATCCCAGCATTTTGTTGGTTTCATCCAGTTCACGTCGGATGACGTGTATACACGCAAAGGTTTTGGGTATTCTGAACGGATGACGGATAAACATGCAACGAGTAAAGCCGGAAATATCTGTCAGCGACCCGCTCGCAGCGAGCGAGGCCGGAAATATCAGGGTGTGCTACCCGCAGATGACGGCCTGAACCCGTCTGGCATCGAGGTTTATAAAAAAAAATTAAAAAAAAAACAATCTCGTGCGTGGGTCTGGTAAATGTCAAAATAATCCCGGCGCGAACTGGTTAAATAGCGCTCACTACCTGGGTGAGTCGCGTAGCCTTACAGTGGATTATTGTTCAGCTATGAGAATGGGGCCCGTAACTACACAATTGCCGCAACACTAATATTTTGCAAAGAGCGCTCATAAAGTATTCTTTCTATTCAATTTTATTGCAGAGGCTGTCCGTTTCGGGGGTGCAATGGAACGGGTAACACCAACGGCAAATCCAAGCTGCACAAGACGTGAGTCTCTTTTCTCAAATTGTAACGGCCGATTCATGCAACATGCGAATGTGAATGCGAAGCAAATTTGACGTCGTAAAACCTTCGCTGCGAAATTTGCCAGGATTTGAAATGTTTTCAACTTTTGCGAATTCGCAGGGCTGAAAAGTTGCCGTGACGTCACTAATTTGCATTCACTTACGTGCTGAGTATGAACCGGCCTTTGAATAATAAGAATATTTCTTGTCATCAGGTGATTAAAGGAAAAACAACCAGTTTTGGAGATGGAACATTTGTCTTTAGAATTCCTTGTACAGGCCCATGCACACTGGTCTTGTTTTATGGTTCAAAGCCCGTCATATTGTTGCAAACCTCATCGGATGTTTTATTTTTAATAAAATAAACCTACTTGTTTTGTCTATTTTGAACATTTCCAATCCTGATGAAAATATTTATTATTGGTTGCTTTTGCACCTGTATTGTGTCAAAGATACACTTGTAGTTATTGTCAGGGCGCAAATAATTTGTAAATAATGTGTAAAGTAATAATTCCATGATAATTGGGTGAGTTCTTTTGCTTGATGTTTCATTTAAACGTGAACCACTTTTGTATTGCTAGAAAAATGGCGATATCAAAACAAAATCTTTTTTTTGGGGGGGGGGGTGAAACTCAAAAATAGCTTTAGATTTTGTACCCTCAAAAATAACTTATTAGTGAATGTGTAGATGATGTCATTGAGATATGTTTGCATTTTTTTGTTTTTATACAGGCTTTTTGAGTGCCCAAGATGTCCCCCAGGTAAGCGGCCCCCTAAGCCAGGCAACCGCCGGCTTGGCACCTATTCCTCAACCTCAACGGGGAAGGGCACGGCCCACACCCCCAAATCCCCAAATAAATCCCACTCCAACCCTAGCACCCAAGATCAAGGGGGGTCTGAGGCACCCGACTCGCCCAGTACACCCCTCTTAGAGCCGGATCAGCCCCCTACGCTGAACCTGCCGCACTACTACGATCCCAAGTATAAGCCGCGAGGATTGGTCGACGGTCTGAGCCGATTCTTCACCCCGACCAATCGGCGGAAGTCTCGGAGCTCGTCCCTGTCCAGCATGGGCTTCTACCCGATCAGTCCCCCGCCCAAGCCCCGCCCGGTGCAGAAATCCAACAGTGACCCCACCCCACCGGCGCCCAAACCCAGCGGAGGGGTCAAACCGGCCGCAGTTGAAACCAAAGAGAAAGTCGCCACCACCAGTGCTCCAGTTCAGGAGGACACTTTTAGGAGTGTGGGAAAGCAGAGGTCGTGCCCGTCGCCCCTGACGGGGACCGGCAGCGCTGCGCCTCCGCAACTCCAATCGCAACAGACCACCCAAGCAGCTGACGACAAGTCGCACTCAAACTCCTCCTCGCCGCACTCGCAGATCATGCGTACGGGTAGCTCGCAGCTGAAGAGCCTGTTTGACGGCCTGTCCCACCTGTACGCGGCCCCGACGGAACCCCGGAAACGCGGACTCTACGGCTTCCCGCCCATCTACAGCCCGCAGAGGAGACCGCGGAAAGCCCCCAGCGCAGACAAGGTCTCCCCGAACGGGAACAACAAAAAGGGCGGATCCTTAAAACTGCGCGGAGGTCTGTCGGCCAGTGCGTCGAAGATCGTCAAAAAGGCGCGAGCGATGGGATCCAAGAAATCACGGCCCGTAACTTCGAAGACGGCGTCCGCCCAGAGGCAAGTGGCTGTGAAGAAGCGGCCTGCGCAATCGGGAACGTCGACTCCGACGGATAGTGTGGCGTCGTCCAAGCCGTCGACGAGCACCAAGAAGTCGAGTAAACCACCATCTGGTAAGACTCATTGTGCATGAACTGCGAAAACACTGCATGGTGTGTGTGCGTCTGTCTGCTTCCCTCCGAGCTACCCGTCATTCCTCCCTACCCCACCTTGCTCCTGTGTCTTGCCGTGTGTGTGTCTCCTCCTGTAGAACTCACAAGTAGATTGCTTTGTAGTTGCTTCCCATCTTGTGTTCATTTTAACATCCATGGAAGGGTGTCTCTTGCAAAAATGCAGGAAAGCGTTTATTTTCCAAAATCTTTCTTCGTTATTTTTCATTTCCTTTATCCTGTGGTGCTTGTCATTGCTTTCTGGTTTTTAAAAACATACCGTGTTTGTGTTTTGTAATTTTGTTTATCTTTGTCAGGGGTGTGAAATCTCAGCTTAAAAGCTGACTTCAGCTTTTTTTGTTTTGGATTTCAGCTTTTTCCCCTCACTTGCTGTGTACATAAGAATAGGAGATTTCCCAAAGTTCAGTTTTTTTTTACACCTTTTTCAGCTGTTTTCAGCTATTTTCATCAGTGGTCACTCACACCCCTGCTTTGTGCTGGTCCAAGAGTGCCAGCCTCTTTGTACTTACCTGACTGACTGACTGACTGACTGACTGACTGACTGTCGCTTCTGACTAGAACTACATGTATCTGTGAACTGGTGAAGAGAACCGTGCAGTGCTATTGTATAGGATTACCCTTTAATGCCAATGAGTGCACTAAATCGGGCCCATTGTGTAGACCAGATCCATGAAAAGACTTCTAGTGAATAGCTGTTCGGAACCAAACGAATGTTTCGTGATCAAAAGGTTGTGCATGGTTTTCACACTTTCTCAGAAAGTGTAGTAACCACTGAGCTGAAATTTCAAACAGGTTAGGTTTTGAACATTTGGATTGTGAGTGTTGTTATTAGTGGAAATAGACAAAATGTGCACAAAAAGCAAGTGCTCCTATATAATAATAATAATATCGGAGTCTTATATAGCGCACGTATCTACCAACTATTAGGTACTCAAGGCGCTGGAGATATGTCTATTATTAAAGAAAGGTAAATAAAGTTTATGAGAAATATGAGACCCATTATGTAGCAACTTATAAGGGTTTACAAGGCGCTGCGGCGCATATTGCAGCCACTGCCAGAAACACCGGGGCAAACCCCTTCTCTTAGCGATAAGTGTTACTGGGTTCTTTAGCGTGCATTACACAACACACGGGACCTACGGCTTTACGTCCCATCCGAAGGACGAAGCAATAATGGTAAAGTGCCTTGCTCAAGAAAACAAGCACCATGTTCCCACGGTCAGGATTCGAACCCATGTACCACGGCACACGAGTCGAACGCCGTAACCATTGGACCACGGCACTCCTACATGTATATACCTTCTAGTAATGATCAGTTTGCAGAATGCCACACTGATCAACCCCCACAGTGGGTGGGCAATTTGTTTTTCACAGAAATTTCATGACTCATTCCAAAAGGTCATTTTGAGTCATGACACTTGTCCCTCTCGAAAAATTTAGAACTTCTAGTTTTGAAAATTAAAGCTGCTCTACCTGTGGTCTGTAGCATTTTCTATTTTTTTTTTCTCCAATCAAATTTTCAATTCATATTTTTCATTTGCATGTACGTTTAGATGGGAAAATATTTGTTTGGGGTCTACATTTGTATTTGTGACTTTTTCAAATCGGAAAAAATCTGGGGGGGAGAAAATGCTTTTACTTTTGGTCACTTTTGTGCCAAAAACACAGAAAAAGATAAGCGTGATTAATTGAGCAAGTTCGGCTTTGAAGTATACTTTAACCGGCACATTTCGACTAGCTCTGCTGGAATGAAGGATCATTGGACTACTCTAGTCGACTCGTTTGCTGTCTGCTGCCCCCTATTTGACTATTTGGAAACGTAGCACCTGGCACAGATGCATCACTGGTTACCACTCTGCGCGCATTATAAAGCGCAACGAGGAGCCAGGATTTTTGAGCAGCGTTGGAAAGGCCTTCTTTCATTGATTCCTTCAAAATAACAGCTTACCAGACAAAATTCAAATCAAAGGCAACATTTATTTCCATTCTTTCCACAAATAAGTCAAACTAAGTTTTCAAAGAAGGTAATTGTATAGATAAAATAAATAATAATACAACAATGTAGTACAACGACTAAATATATTAACTTAGGGTGAAGAGTATGGGGCTGTTCATATAAACCGAAGCTTGTAGAGAACAGCCTAACACATAAACGGACTATACAGGACAGTATGCACAGACGATAGGAATAAACACGAAAACAGTCAAAGGGAAACTAAAGACAGACAAAACAAAACAAAACACGAGACGAGACACTAAAAACCGAGACAAATTGAATAGTTGCGATAAGGATACGTTAAATAAAAGAGACGATGAATTGTATGAAATGAAGAGATGTGGCTATGGAGAATGTCTGAGGAGGGAAAGCTATGTTACATATTGTGATAGGAGCGCCTTTTTATATAAGGATTTAAAAAACAACTTCACAAGGATGGCTGCAAATGGTGGACTGTGCCTTTAAGCAAGTGTAATTCACAAGTAACAATGAGTCAGTCAGTCAGTCAAGTCAGTCAGGTACAAAGGAGATGGCCCTCTGAGACCAGCACCAAAAAAATTAGTTAATCTAAGAACCATGAAACTAAATGCATCAAGTTCACAACAAACTGGACGAATTCTTGTGATCTGAAATGGAAAACATAATGACAATATCACATGTGCATTGGTTTCCTTGTACAATGTAATTGAACGCCAGCAAGCATGCCACTTTTCCCAGAAGTGTGTTCACCTCAAACCGAGAATACAATATCACAAGGCCGGGTGTTATTTTTCATAATTTTCCTTGAGGACCCCCCCCCCCCTTTCGCTCCACAGAGACTGCATTAAAGGGAATGTACAACACTTGCTTTTGCTGCAATTTTCAGAAATAAATGGATCTGGAGGATTAGGCCAAAAAAAAAGTCTCCGGTTTCTGGTATGGAGCTTGCCCCAAAAGTGGTTCGGCGACGCGGCTTTTTTTTTTTTTTTACCTGTTTTTTTTTTTTTGTGGCTTCAAATGTCGGCTGATGACTGCAAATGGTGCCCGACTAAACTTAGTGCAAATATATGGGAGTCCAGAGAGGCCACATAAAGCTTATTCTTGATCATAACCCCATCTAAAAACACGTTAAAATTGTGCAGCAGCAGGATACCAGTCAAACCAGTGAGTTTGGCGGTTTTGAGACATCATCTTGTATTGAAAAAAAACCTTTTTCATTTTGCCGACGCGCATGGCTACGGCGACGCGCGCGCATACCAGAAATCGGAGACTTTTTTTTTTTTGGCCTTAGTGTGCTACAGAAAATATTGTTAAACTGACTTGCTTCACGTTTTGGGTTTGGAGATGCTGGAAAATCCAAGAAAACCAACCATGTTCTTGTAGTCTGGTTCCCTGACCCCACTAAAGATGAAATGGAGCAACTTTGTAGACTTTGGGGAATTGTAAGGTCAAAGAATCTGTCTAGCAGGCTCATACTCATTCACAGGTGTGTAATCATTTGCAATGGAAGTGCGGAATAACTAAATATGAAAAATTTGGAGCAGTTTTTGAAGAAAAGCCAGTTTTTCCAACGCTGGTCGGCCGACCAGCGTTGGAAAAATAGAATTTTTCTTGAAGCCACGATCTTACAGGATGCTTTATACAGTCATTCCCTAACAATCCAGTAAGATATTTTGTGATAATTTGATCACTTCGTTTTTTGATGTTTGCAAATGTTGTATCTTCCCTTTAATTAAGTAATCACAAAATTATGCACACAATGTTGCAGGAAGTAATGGATCGCGATAGCCGAGCTTAAAGGATTTCGTTGTGATTTTAAAACCCCTTCCTAAGTTTGCTGTTCTTTTGCAGAGGTTTTATGCTTTTAATGTTCTTAGGCCATCATCCCCTTCATGTCTTTTCTCCATGTTTGTTTTCATATCTGTACTGGTTGCGTTGTTTTGGCTTGCTAGTGTTTTCCAGTGATACATCATATGCTGTGCGTTGTGAATAATATGTAGCATGCATGTGCTTAAAGCGTTCATGAAGTGAATTTTTCCTAGGAACACATTTTGTGCAACTTTCTACTCCTCTTAAATGTATGAAAAGCATTTGCCATTCCTTTTTGGTTGATTTTACTGAAAAAGTGCATTTTTTAAAAAACATTTTTAATTGTCCATGTTTTCCGGACAACTGAGGGCGCTGTTGCCGTGATGTCATTTCAGGAAGAGGCTGTTGAGTTTATGGGTTTTCTGTTCAAATTGTGAAACAAAAAATTTGCTGAGTGAAAATAATTTTGAGAAAAGTTTACATCATTGGCTTACTGCCATGTACTATCACAACAACACGGCACCAAAGAAAAGAAAATTTAAGACAGCGAAATATTTCTAAAATTTTGGCAAATGTTGGTGCTGAAATGGCTGCCAGATGGAGGTTTCTGAGTAAAATGACATCACATCTTTGCTCTAAATATGGAACTGTGCATCACCATAAAACCAAAAAGGCACCAAAACAATCTTGAAAATGACAGTTAACGAGAGTTAAAAATAAGGTTAAACGGGACACAAATGTGCATTTTCAAGGATTGCATTAAAAACATTGCATTGGCCCTCAGCCAGATTGTACAAAAAAAGTCCATGTTTGAAATTATTCACTCGTCCGTCTTATTTCAAGAGTCTAGGTCATAGGACATCCATAGAATTTCTTACATTTATGGAAAAGATATTCAAAAACTCTTTTGTTGTTTACAAATCGGTTACGGCAGCAGTTTTTTGCCTTGTCTGTATGTCTTTCAAGCATCAAATTTTGAGCCAAGCTGTCAACAAAAGACTGGTGCTGCATCAAATGTATGTGATAATCCACTGTGAGATACCAGGTCCCACGCGAGCTTCAAAATTACACGCACGGTTTTCTGGGGTGCAGGCATTTGACAAAACATTTTGAAAAGAAACTTATTTGAATGGAATAAGGACTAGTGTCAATTTTTAGGACCAAAAGTTTGTACCCACAAATTCCTTCATGGGGAAAAAACGAAAAGGGCAAATTTCCAAAGAATAGTTGTGTGAACGTTCATAGTCTACTTTTGACGAACTTTCCAACTGTTGTTTTGTGGTGAATGCATTTTCGGGCCCAAATGGGTGCACTCTCTCGAAAGTGCCCCTTTAATGATGTGTGTAGCTATTCTGCTTTCTTGCACAAGTGAAATACTCATCTAATTTTAGACCCGGTTGTCCACAGTGGGATATGATTCATATTGAATAACTTCTACATATTTAACTTGCCATTTTAAAGGTGTCCTTTCCCAAGCAACATTACAATTGTGTAGCCTCATCATGACTGACTTCTGATATTTGGTACAATGCTGATATAATCATCTCAGCAATCTAGGTGTACTATGACTAACAATTGAATGTGGACGCTCGGAAATAGTCTTGTTAGTGTATATTATTAACTCTCTTCTCTAGGCCTTAAAGGCATATATAGGATCATTTGCATTTTATCCCAAAAGTAACCTACCAACTTATTATCAAAATGCTTGGATTAAAGATCGCACTGGTACTAAACACGCTGTGAAATTATTCTGTCTGGCTTGCTGTCATTTCGAAGAAATCAAGAAATGTAGGTGATCTCCAACGATCAGTCAATTGACTGATTGTTGGAAACAAAGAGCGTTTTAGACGAAATCGTGTTTCATGATCAATCGGTTGTGCATGGTTATTCACTGTTTTCTTGAAAAGTGTAATATCCACTGAGCTGAAACTTCAACAGGTTAGGTTTTGAAGATTCTTCTTTGGATTTTGAGTGGTGTTATTATTGGAAACAATGCATGAAAAGCAAATGATCCTATATGCTTTTCAATCAAAGTTCATCTACTTTTCTTGCACCGTTTCTTAAAAAATATCCCTTTGTCCTGCTGCTAATGTTAATGGCTTCATTTGCTGGCTTATCCTTAATTTTGCCCCAAAGTACCAACTTGATGACCAATTTCACACGATTTCAAAACCTGCGAACTTTTCTGAAAGTGTCCTTGACCACTAATTTTTGGGTCGGGCAATTTTTTTTCTCTTCTAAATCTAAATCCCAGATTTTGCGTTAGAACAAATCCTGTCTTGTGACTTGCCAATTTCTCACTCAATTTCAACTTGAGGTTATATTAGATGGGCGATTGTGTAGTTACTGGCCCCTCTTTCGTTTGAGTCCTTAGAAGGTTAAATTCATGCCAAAATGACCTCTGCAACCTTATACAATCTCTTCTTAATTCTAATGACCCTATTTTGGTACATTTGAAGGTCATTTTTTTGTAGAGAGTGTGATTTTTATATGCATTTTTTCCAGTTGATTCCATGCTTTTAAACGCTGTTTTGTGCATTCAGGGTGCATCACGTTTAACATTATCTTTAATTTCATTAATCATTTTGCCATCTTCTTCGTTGTTTTTTTAACTCAAAATATCCCTAAAAAAAAAGAAAAAATCAAAACCTTGTCCTCTATCCATAACAGTCCTGTCGGTTTTACACATCGCCAGCTAGTTTTGTAAGTCCCACAACCTTAAAGTGGTTATCTTATAAGAATGGGGCCCATAACTTCACAATTGCAATCAGACAATTTAAATATCAGAATGTTTTTTTTTTAATGTGTCTGTTCTCACATCCCACAGAGTCGTCAACCACAGCGGCCGTGTCCCCGCCCCCGCCACAGAAGCCCGCCCTCCCCCGCGGCGTCACGGAGCACGACGTGGACATGTTCAGGCTAGCCCAAGAGCGCGCCATGACGGTAATTATGTCAGACTACACCAAACAAGCCACATCGGGTGTAAGTCAACCATTTACCTCAATCAGACCCTCTCTCTCTCTCTCTCTCTCTCTGTGTGTCTCTGTGTCTGTCACACTGTCTGTTACTCTGTTCCTCCTCCCTTTCCTTACCCTCCTTGACCTTTTTACTCGAGACTTCCTGTGCATGATCTAGTTGTTGAAGGCTTCGGAAATTTTGTTATGGTAATGCGCAACCAGAAGACCAAACTTGCACCTTCAATCTAAAGTGCATTCAGTCCGAAGGTTAATTTAATCTACTTGGAAGCTAATGATGAAAACATAAAGTGCAGTCAAAAGTCACTCGTGCTTAATTTGGTCATCTCTTCATCGAATCCCCGTTTTGCTTTCAGAAAAGCACATGCATTATTTTATCTCCATAAAACGTCCTTTTTCTCAAAATGTTTTCTCAAAGAAGTAGAAAATGTAAGCGCATCACAATTGAATTGGGTTGTTGAAGCCTTGCGTTCTCTGTAATCACATTACCTAAGCCGCTCGAAGAATGTTTGTGCGACCGTGGTATTTTATGTTCACATCAAAAGCCCTTTTTTTTTTTAATAAGTTAGTTTTCTCATGGCATGCTGGAGTTTATAAATGCATGATAGTAGATGGTCAACATAGGTTGTACGTTGCATGCAAGTTTTGGGTTTTCTTTAAATTAAACTAGCGAGGCATGTGAACAGAAGTTCCGTTTGTCCAACCCACTTCAAAACATATAAAGTTAATTTTTTTTGGTTTTATTTATTTATTTTGTAACATCGGACAGCACATGCCAGAATAGGATGGATAAGACTCCTCAGAAGACATTGAAGGAAATTATAGTTGTTAGTGGTGGGAGGAAAACCCTAGAATGATATTCTAGGGAAAACCCATGGAATCAGGCAGAGACTGAAAACCCATTCCACATGTTGGCCCAGGCGGGATTCGAACCCGGGTCACAGCGGTGGAAGGCGAGGGAAGGTAACGCTACGCCAACCTGATCCCCAATTTTTTACGCGACTCTGGTGTCTCCAACAGAACCAGGGATATCCTGTGATGTTGTAAAGCCGAGTAGGGTCAGTTGCGATTTCCAAAAAATGTAGTGTCTGATTTAATGTCGAACCTTGATGAACATTGCTCAAAGTGAAGATAGGACTGGTATTAAATACCCTGTGAACATGGTGAAATTATTCCGCCTGAAATTATTCTTGCTCTCTGCAAAAGAACCTCTTTGAACTTTAGATAGGAGTTATCACATAACACTATCCTGATAAATCTGTTATTGAAGCTTTGAGCTGATCTTTTCATTATATTATCCAGTTATATAGCATGTAATTGAAATAGAAATTAGGAACATTTCAAGAAAACTGATTACGTTTTCCTATTCGCCTTTTCTGGAACAAGTAAATGTGACCCTCCAGCGCAAAACCAATCACTTGAACCAATTTTTGAAAACTGTGATTTTGGGCTCATTGGAAAGGACATTGAATAAGCGTGATGTACAGAATATGGGAATCGGACAAAATCTGACGGAGTTATGGATATTTTCAGTTCCCAAATTTCATCAATATTCTGTATACAGGTACATATATTATAGACTGTATTGTAGGCTGTACCGGTATCTCAAAATATGACTATGCGACTTCCAACTGTTTTTGTGCTGGACGCTCACTAGAATATCTGTAGCTGCTAAAATTGTCATTATTATTTTACACTAAGAACAATTCTAAATACCACAAATCTAAGTGTTTCTGTCTTTCTGTACTTCAAACATGGTGTGCCCTTGTTAGTCGCGATGAGTGGATTTGCGCTATCGCTCGGTCGCGCAGAAATGCATTTGCGCAATCGGTCGATGCCGTAGGATATCTCAGTCTTTACTTCCCACGCAAAACAATCCTCCAGAGCCAGGAATTAGAAAGGTGATGGAGCAACGACAGCCTGATTGACTGATAGCGTAGCGCGATCAACTGATAGTGAAGCACGATTGACCGATAGTACAGCGCGATCGACCAATAGCGCAGATCCACCGATCACGCCCAACTACCACTGCGGCACAACTCTTCCTATCTGTTACTCTAATTCTCTGAGGGTCTGTTTAAAGGCTGGCTTGCATGTTTGTCATTTTATTTTTGCTGTGTGCTTGTGGCTTGTTTGTGCTTGTAGTGCTAGTTTACTTTGACATATGAGTCATGCTATAAACTTAGGGTCCAAAGTGTGAGAGTTTTCCTGTCCCTGTTACCTCGGTACCAGAGTTTACCATTCAAGTAGCATCAAGAATGACTTCAAATGATGTTCTGTTTGTTGGGTTGGTAGTTTGCTATTCGTAATCACTCTTGGAGGACGACTGCATTGAACAGTGCATCAGAATTGCAAAATCAAAGATGTAAGGGACAGGAAAAAAAGTGGACCCCAAATTTATAGAATGACCCATATTGCTTGCAGTGTTTTGGATATGCTCATTTTATTTAAACTTTCAAAATGATTTGCTCGGCAAGAAAAGGTTACCAGCCAATTTGTCATGCAATGTACATTGCTTGTGACTGGTTTTCTGCAAATTCATTCATCGGGAATACTGTCTTCAAAAGTCAATCACAAGTCCTCACAAATCCATCACATGTTCTAACAAGTCCACACAAGTCCTCAGAAGTCCATCACAAGTCCTCACAAGTCCATCACATGTTCTAACAAGTCCACACAAGTCCTCAGAAGTCCATCACAAGTCCTCACAAGTCCATCACATGTTCTAACAAGTCCACACAAGTCCTCAGAAGTCCATCACAAGTCCTCACAAGTCCATCACAAGTCCATCACAAGTCCTCACAAGTCCATCACAGGTCCTCACAAGTCCATCACAAGTCCTCACAAGTCATCGAAAATCCTCACAAGTCATCGAAAATCCTCACAAGTCCATTGAAAATCCTCACTTGTCCAACACAAGTCCATCACAAGTCTTCACAAATCCATTGTTAGTCCTCAGAAGTCCATCACAAGTCTTCACAAATCCATTGTTAGTCCTCACATGTCCACATACCTCACAAGTCCATTAAAAGTTGTCACAAGTCTTCAAACCCAACACAAGTCCTCACAAATTCACCATAAGTCCTCATAAGTCCAACAAATGTCTTCATAAGTTGATCATGTCCTCACAATTCCATCACAAGTCCTCAGAAATCCTCATAAGTCCTCAAATCCCCATACGCACACCAAAAAGTCCTCACAATTCCTCACAAGTCCTCACAATTTCATCACAAGTCCTCAGAAATCCTTATAAGTCCTCACAAATCCCCATGCGCACACCAAAAAGTCCTCACAAGTACCTCACAAGTCCCTAAGTCCTTAAACCCATCACAAGTCCTCAAAAGTCCCCACAAGCCCATCACAAGTCCATCACAAGTCCAACACAAGTTTTAACAAGTCCCTCAGTGTTGGTTGCTTTTGACTGCCTCCGTCCACTTCGCTTCAGGAGGTAGTCAAATCAGTCAACGCTTCGGGACCGGGTAATTTCCCACTGCTTCCCCTCAAACCAAGTTGTATTTTTACAATACCTCACTTTAAGTAATCAGTTATGACTTTGCACATTGAACGGAGAAATAAAAATGCGATAATTGCATGCACTTTCAGGCATAGTAACCTCTTTTCCTGTGACATTTAAAAAAAAACAACTCGGCTTGCAATCTTTTCTTCCTATCTTTTTTTCCCCCGGAGTAGACATGCAGCACGGAACCCCAGCAGATTGATCACCAAACGCGGTCACCGAGCTGCATCGAGTTTGGCCGGTATCACCTACAGACATGGTACTCATCACCTTACCCTCAGGAATATGCCAGGTACCAGCCAAGTTTTGCTACAGGGTTCTTGTTGAATCTGTCACAAGTCGGGTGAAGAAATAAAACACAAGTGGGGCGCTGTTGCCTCCTGGTCTGGAATATTCTAACTCAAAATCTGTGGTTAATTCTGCAGGTTGTGGGTTCGAGTCCAGCCCGGGGTTGTGGCGCTTGTGCCCTTGGGCAAGGCACTTTGTCACTCATTGCTTCTCCCCACCCAGGAGTAAATGGGTACCTGTGAGGGCAGAGATGGTTGTTGTGTTGCATTTAAACCGTTTGCGCCTGACAAAAATCACTGCTTCAAACTGTACACTCCCCAGGGAGCTGAGATGGTCTAAGGAATGTTTTATTGGCCCAGTGAGCAGGGGTAATAATGATGTAAAAGCACTTTGATATTTGTTGAAACGCAGTTTACGTGGAACCCCATACTGTATCAAGAAAACTGCTCTGCGATGAGTGGTAAAGAACCTTTGGTTTAACTACAAATTGTACATATCACTTTTCATTTTAAACAAGTTGTGTTTTTTTCCAGAAAATTTTGAATTTGTTAACTTCTGTCCCATATTACCTAAAGTAAATTTTTTTTTTTTTAATGTTTTCAGGTTACCAAAGCTTTTCTTGTGCGAGTTTTGTCTAAAGTACATGAAGAGCAGAAGTATTCTTATCCGACACCTGGTAAGTAAAGTTGGAGAAATACTCTTGATAGAATACAGTGAAAATCAAACTTACGCAGCGATATTCTACAAAGGCATGCATTATTACGGATCAATCGTGGAACTATTGCACGGGGTAGTGCACATATGCGAACATCTTCCTAACTAGCTACATGAGAAGATGGCGGCACAGGTGCGGCAACATTTAGCTGAAAAAACTGATCCGTAACTCAACAAAATTTCGGTGAATTCGTATGTGGTATAGGAAATCAAATACGAAAATGTTTGAACGCAACGCTGTAGCGCTGGCTCTTTCGAACAATATGCGCTACGTGCAACGCTGAACGTGCACACCTGAACGCGCACACCAGCATGCATTTGCACACAAATACCGCGTAATGGAACAAGAATAATCCTAACTGTTCAATAGCATTTCCCATTCCCCATGGGCGGATAGTACTTTTTGAGTCGCGGCGTGAATGGGAGCAATAACGAATGTCACGTGATGTGAGTTCCACCAATCAAATGACAAGGATCTGTACGTCGGTTATATAATATTAACTATCAACCCTCAAAACCCTGTTTTATTTGTATACTATCCACCTCAGACCATGTTATATTTTCAAGCGTACTAATATTTCCTATATTTTGCTCTTCTTCCTAGACCAAATGTGGGTGGTTTCACCCTCCGGCCAACGAGATCTACCGCCACAACGACCTGTCCGTCTTTGAGGTGGACGGCAACGTCAGTAAGATCTACTGTCAGAATCTCTGCCTCCTGGCCAAGTTGTTTCTGGACCACAAGACCCTGTACTACGACGTGGAACCATTTCTCTTCTACGTCCTGACCAAAAATGACGCCAAAGGATGTCACATAGTTGGCTACTTTTCCAAAGTAAGGAAGTGTTTAGTGCTGGTCCCAGAGGGCCGGTCTAGTATCCTCTGCGTGCCCGACTGACTGACTGACTGTGAGACGTAATGACGTAATGGCTTTGTTTACATATGCGCTTTCCTATAGGAGCGAAGTCGGGACGCCAGATAAAGTGGGGACCGTCTACTACATAGGAAAGCGCACATGTAAACAAAGCGTGACATCATTATGTCTCAGGCCTATTAGACTGGTTACCTGTATCTCGATGACTGACTGTCACTTGTGAATTAGACTGGTTACCTATCTCACTGACTGACTGTCACTTGTGAATTAGACTGGTTGCCTATCTCACTGACTGACTGTCGCTTGTGAATTAGACTGGTTACCTATCTCACTGACTGACTGTTGCTTGTGAATTAGACTGGTTACCTATCTCACTGACTGACTGTCACTTGTGAATTAGACTGGCTACCTACATCACGGTTGCTATAATTCGTCAGATGCGCGACATCACTTCAAGCTGCAATCGGCTCAGTGAGAACGTGTCTCGGATGCTGAATTCAGGCCCAATTCAAAACTTGATTCAGCAACTTTTTATTTGAAATCGAGATCCTAGAATGCTGGTTGTTTTTAAAATAAACAGCTGAAGCTGAGATGAAATTGCATTGTTTTAGCTTTCAGCACCCTTCTTTAGATTTTGAGCATTTTTTTTTTGCTTCAAACGAACACAATGTACAAATTACAAGTATGGACTGTACCTTTAAGTCAAGTTTTTGATGACAGAAAAACTGCTTTGGAACTGTTGAGTTTTCAACATTTTTATTTAGAAAAAAGCTCTTTAAAGATTATATCTTGTTTCTCTTCCTTCCCCCCACCCCTTTCAGGAAAAGCACTGCCAGCAGAGATACAACGTCTCCTGCATCATGACGTTGCCCATGTACCAACGGAAAGGATACGGCCGATTCCTGATAGATTTCAGTGAGTAATACATTCCACACCGCCAATCCATCATGGTTTCGAGAAAAGAAAAATAAATAAACAAAACAAACAAATAAACATAAAAAAAACCAAATTAAACAAAACAAACAAACTTGGTGAGTGGTGAAGCGCTTTTCACACTACTTATTACTTTTACAGAACTGAGAGTTGTTTTGATTTTTCCTCAAGTTAGGATTTTTTTTCCTGATTTCAGGAACTTTTTGTCTGGATTTGTGGTCGGCATTTGTTTTTCCTGATTTCATGAACTTTTTGTCTGGATTTGTGGTCGGCATTTGTCTAGATTTCAGGTTTGTGGTCAGGATTTGTTAAGACCTCAGGATTTCAACCCCTTCCCCCCCTTCCGTCAGCTGCTGACTAATGTTATGAGACTAGTAAATGTTAAAGTTCCTAAATGTATTCCCAAATTGCCTTAGGATGCATGAGAAAGCATCGTAGATTTCAATATTTTCGGGGGAGGGGGCATACGCGCATTCACTCACACTGCCTGCCCCCCCCCCCCCCACCAATTTTCTGAAAGCAAGATCCGTCCCTGAATGTATTCAGATTTGTTGTAATTTTAACCTTTGCAAAAACAAACCTTCCTCCAAACAAAAATACTTTATTGTAATATTTTGTTCCCATATTCGATATATAGCAATGAACAAGAATATCATTGAACATTACTCGACATGAAGCTTGTTCATGTAAACATCTTTAAACCAGGCATGTTTTTCATCAAGGAACTGTTCAAACAGACAAACACTTCCGGCCTTGTCAAATTTTGTGAGCTACATTGTCCAAGCCTCATTGTCAAGTAGACTGAAAAAACTAGAAACGCGAGCCCTGTCCGTCAACTGTAATAGCCCTGTTCCCTGTGAAGATCAGAACATTATGTCCCTTTGAGACTAGTTTTTGTATTGAAGAACAATGTGACATTATCCAGTAAGATGTGACATGGGTTCGTTCACCTTCTAAGATCCATGTCACAGAAACACGACTTCCTTGCGTCTTGTGCAAGGCTCTTAGCCTTCCTAGCGGGAAGTCAGAATTCAGAGCAATATGTAAAACCCTTTAAAACCCTGCAGGTCAGCTTCAGGTAAAGGGATAGGAAGTTAGTGTGTCACACAGGGAGTCACTGCACACAGAAAGAGCACTGCGGAGAGCAGTGAAGCGTGACCACATATGGGCAATGCCAGCGTTATGTAATGTCCGTAACAGAGCTTTTAAAGGGAAAATACAACAATTGCAAACATCGAAAAATAAAACTACCAAGTTTTTACGAAATACCTTACTAGGATGTTGGTAAATGACAGTCTCAAGCGTCTTGTAAAATTATGGCACCTGGTGTGAAGTCAGTTTCAAGAAAATGGTATTTTTGTATACATTTCCAACGGTGGTCGGCCGACCACTGTTGGAAAAACCTAACTATTTTCCAACTACTGCTCCAAATTTACCATTTTATCAGTCCAAATTTTGTTTGCTATTGGTTACATGTTCATGGACGGGTGCAGGCCAGCTAGACTGGTTCTCTTACCTTACAATTTTCTGACGGCATCTATAAATTTGATCCATTTTATCCTTAAGTAGAGTCAGGGAACCAGACTACTTTAATATTTGTGTTTTTCTTGGTTTTTCCAGCATTTTTGAACACAAAACCTCAAACATGGCAGTGCAACAATATTTGATCTGTTATACTATCCCCTCAAATCGTTCATTTCTGAAAATTACAGCAAAAGCCAATGATGTACATTCCCTTTAACCTTCCTAGCGGGAAGTCAGAATTCAGAGCAATATGTAAAACCCTTTAAAACCCGGCAGGTCAGCACACAGAAAGAGCGCTGCGGAGAGCAGTGAAGCGTGACCGAACATGGGCAATGCCAGCGTTATGTAATGTCTGTAACGGAGCTTTTAAGAGCTCAGTGAATAAACCCGAACATGTTTTTTTCTAAACCTTCCACATCCATCATCTAGGAATGTCAAGGAGCTGAAAGACTAGGAGTTTTGGATCATTTCTCTGAACCATTAATTAGGTATCACGGTCAATTGGCTCTGTCACGGACATTACGTGTACCCTGCCTTTCCTAATGCTGGAATTTATAAAGTAATAATTCAATAAAAGTGGGCTTTTGGGGGGGGGGGATGTTTCTTTCCAAAAGTGAATAACATTTGTATTGCTAAACAAATTAGCAATTTAGAAAAGAAATTTGGTTTCTTGGTAGATGGACACAACTTTAACTGTTATTTTTCCTGCTTTGCTGTCTGTTTAGGCTACCTGTTATCCAGACAAGAGGGCCAACCAGGCACCCCGGAGAAACCTCTGTCGGACCTGGGGAGGGTCAGTTACAACTCCTACTGGCGCAGCGTCATACTGGAATTCCTGGGCCGGAACGGGGAGAACCGAAGAATCACCATCAAGAGTAAGTCTACCGTTGGGCGTCTCGGTCCAATGGTCACGGTGTTTGGGTTTGAACTCTGATGGGGAGCACGGTGCTTGTGTTCTTAGGCAAGACACTTTACTCCAATTTGAACATCGGGAGTCTTAATGGTCTCCTTTGAGGGTACAGACCAGGGCCCGATTTCATGGCTTTGTGTACTGCAAGCGAACAATTCCTGCTTACTATAGCAGAAAATCCTGTGCTTACGGTAAGCACGGTGTTTGACTCATGTGCCGTGGTACACGGGTTCGAACCCTGATGGAGAGCATGGCATTTATGTCCTTGGGCAAGACACTTAACTACAATTTGCACTCCGTGAGTATAAATGGATACCTGTGAGGGTAGAGAGACCAGGGGCTAATTTCATAGAGCTGCTTAAGCACAAAATTTGCTTAAGCACAAAAACATTTTGCTTAATAAAATCAGGTTACCGGCCCAAACTCCATGCGATTGTTATGCTAAGTAAACAACAGCTGAATACCAGTCACAAGCAATGTACATCACATGGAGTTTTGGCCGGTAACCTAATTTTACTAAGCAATGTTTTTTCGTGCTTAAGCAAATTTTGTGCTTAAGCAGCTCTTAAGCAGTTCGTAAGCGAACAATTCCTGCTTACTATAGCATAAAATCCTGTGCTTTACGGTAAGCATATTTCACATGTTAGCCAAGAATTTTGGCTTCTGTACATGCGTACACCCCATACAAAGGATTCTGTGCTTGCATGGTTAGCACAGAATTTTTATGCTAGCGTGGTTAGCACAAAACGGTGATAGTAAGCGCAGGATTCTGTGGTTAGCAGCGTCTTAAAATTTGGCACAGATTGGGCTGGGCCCAATTTCATAGCGCTGCTTAACAGCTGACTTTGTGCTTACCAAGCCTCCATCTGTTTCAGCAGTAAGCACAGCAAAAGCACGTTTAACCCTAGAAGAAAACTTTGCTTAAATCAGTGACGTAACAATAGAAATCTCCATGGGCACGCAACCGTTAGCATGAAATAGTGCTTAAGTAGCAGCATGATTTTCTGCTATAGTAAGCACAACTTTTCTGCTTACTGTTAAGCAGCGCTATGAAATTGGGCCCTGATCTCTTTATAATTACTTGACACCACAGGTATCAGCCGAGCTACTGGTATGTGTCCGCACGACATCGCGTCCACCCTGCAGTCACTCAGGATGATAGGCAAGAAGGACGACAGGTAAGAACCTAAATATAAGACAGCCTAGTTCCACTATCAAGGCCTCAAAACTCAAGATTTGTGGGTAATTCTGCAGGTTGTGGGTTCGAGTCCAGCCTGGGGTTGCGGTGCGTGTGCCCTTGGGCAAGGCACGTTGTCACTCATTGCTTCTCCCCACCCAGGAGTAAATGGGTACCTGTGAGGGCAGAGATGGTTAATGTGATTGATTTTAGCTGCTTTGTGTCCAAAATGGCAGCATCGAGCTGTACAGTAACAAAAGTGGGGGGAGGGGGGGGGGGGGGGACTCTCTGATCAGTTGAATGGGCAGGCTATTCGCGAACCAAAACAAGACCACTAGCAAGTGAATGCAGTTGCAATCAGAGACCATGGAGCAAATTGGGGGATATTCCAGTTATTTTCTTTAGCTTGTGTCACAAAAAAGGGAAGCTTAATTTTTTTAAGGTTACGATTATCCGGTTACCGATATCCGAACCGAATAGTGGAATTCAAACCGAATTTTTTTAAACATTTGGATTTTTTAACCCCTTGTTCCACCAATCAGGGTCGGTTTGATTTTTTTTAACGTTACGATTATCCGGTTACCAAAATCCGAACCGAATAGTGGAATTCAAACCGAATTTTTTTAACAATCTGGATTTTCAACTTCTTGTTTCACCAATCAGGGTCGTGTTGAAGTTACGCCACAAAGTCATCAACGATCACAAGGCCAAGGTGGCGAGGAGTTGTCGGATCGAGCTGGACGAGGACTGCCTGAGGTGGACGCCGTTGGTGGTCAGCGGTATGGCCATCATGGAGGAAGAGAAGGAGGTCAAACGAGAGGTAACAATCGCAAAACATTTCATTCCGTGTTCTGGAGTAATTGACCTGTCGCAGTAGAATCACGTTAGAATCGCATCGACGCAGCTTGTGAAATATTGTCCAATTACATGATATACAAATGGACGCGGAACGCGCAAAATCTTGAGACAAGTAAAACTAAGTGTACAAAAACTCCATAGGGTTGTCTAAAGGGCCTGGCTAACTCTCAAACCGCGATAGGTCAATCAAAACCTAGCAGGGATCCCACAGTCATTTAAAAATCCCGGAAAATCATGGAATTTTATAAAATATCATGGAAATTAATGAAAAAGTGATGGAATTTTGTTATTTTATGAGAAGTCATGGAATATTGTTATTTTATAAGAAATCGTAGAAAAGTCATGGAATCCTGCACAACCCATACGTGATGATGCGTAGTATTTGGATATGGCAGTCTTCCAGTTTGCATTCCAGTTTACTATACTTCCTCTTTATGCATGTATGCTCTATACTTGTTGCATGTTCAGTGCACCATTGTGATGCTTTTGGGGTGCTCAGTGGTCTTGTGTCAAACTGGAAGGCTGAAAGGGAGTGGTGTCCCTTGCCTCAGTGTGATGACTGGCCAGTGTATTGTAAATAGGCTCCTAAGATGGCAAAACAGCTCAGGAATCGGTCATGGAAAGCCCTAATTTTGTCCTGGAAAAGACATGGAAAAAGTCACGGAATTTCATTTCCAGATTTCCGTGGGACCTGGTTAAATTCAGCATAGTTGTATAAAGTTCAACACACTTTTGTCCTGGAAAAGACATGGAAAAGTAATGGAATTAAATTTCCAGATTTCCGTGGGACCTGGTTAAATTCAGCAGAGTGGTATACAGTTCAACACACTTTTGTCCTGGAAAAGGCATGGAAAAGTCATGGAATTAAATTTCAAGATTTCCGTGGGACCTGGTTAAATTCAGCATAGTTGTATAAAGTTCAACAAACTTTTGTCCTGGAAAAGGCATGGAAAAGTCATGGAATTTAATTTCCAGATTTCCGTGGGACCTGGTTAAATTCAGCATAGTTGTATAAGGTTCAACACACTTTTGTCCTGGAAAAGGCATGGAAAAGTCATGGAATTTCATTTCCAGATTTCCGTGGGACCTGGTTAAATTCAGCATGGTTGTATAAAGTTCAATACACTTTTGTCCTGGTAAAGGCATGGAAAAGTCATGGAATTTTATTTTCCACATTTCCGTGGGACCTGGTTAAATTCAGCATAGTTGTATAAAGTTCAACACACTTTTGTCCTGGAAAAGGCGTGGAAAAGTCATGGAATTTCATTTCCAGATTTCCGTGGGACCTGGTTAAATTTCAGCATAGTTGTATAAAGTTCAACACACTTTTGTCCTGGAAAAGACATGGAAAAGTCATGGAATTAAATTTCCAGATTTCCGTGCGACCTGGTTTAATTCAGCATAGTTGTATAAAGTTCAACACACTTTTGTCCTGGAAAAGGCGTGGAAAAGTCATGGAATTTCATTTCCAGATTTCCGTGGGACCTGGTTAAATTCAGCATAGTTGTATAAAGTTCAACACACTTTTGTCCTGGAAAAGACATGGAAAAGTCGTGGAATTTAATTTGACTGTGTTGACTTGTGCAGTGTTGTGAATTTAATGTCGCAGTATAAAATTGAGATTTGGAGGTTCTGTTTTGGCAGCTGAGAAAAAAATACTGATGTAGCTTTCATTTATTTTGACTAGGTTGCGATGATGGGAGCCCTCGTCAACGACATTGACGAAGAGAGACGACGTCTAGATTTCTCCCCAAAACTATCGCCCAAGAAAGCCTTGATGCAGACCCCATCGCCAAGCCTCAAGTCCCCGCTCAAGGGCAGCCTGAACGTAGCCGCGCTCAAGACGTCCGACCCCTCCCACTTGAAATCCACCTTGGCCCTGCCCCCGAAGTCGCCCCCTCCCAAGACGCCCCCCTCGTTCAAAACCAAATTCAAGAAGACGTCGAAGTTGAAGGTGGCGAAGCGCAAGAAGTCGACGTCCACCTCGTCCGACAAGTCCTTGAAGTCATCGGGGAGAATCAGCTCCTCGAAGAAGTACAAAAAGAATCAAGAAACTCCCGGCAAGTCCTCGACGGGAACTGAGAAATCGCCGAAGAAGAAATCCACGAAGGTCAAGTTCCACAAGGTCAAGTCAAAGGGGAAGTCGGCCAAGTCCAAGTCGAAGACGACCGATTCCGAAAAGCCCCTCTCGACGTCCAAAGATGCGTCGCCGGGGAAGACCAAACTGAAGGTGTATCGGAAGTCGCGGTCGAAGACGCTTCTTAAAGCCCATCGAAGGAGGAGAGGCCTGAAGGATGACGTGCTCTCCGACAGCGATGAGGGTGTCACTCTCACTAAACCAAAGGTGAGTTTGTTACAAAGTATCGGGCATTACACTTCCTGTTATATCGCTGGAATTACCCTGTACTGTTTGCCTTCCTACCTCGTGATGTTTCATATTGTCCAAGTTTTTCATAAAAAAAGGCAGGATTTTGTTGAATTGAAATGTATCGGTGATAATTGTTGTACCAAATGGCTCATTGGTTCATTACCATGCTCCTTCCATGATTAAGCGTCGGAAACGCAACCATAAACATTTAAATGTTTAATTGTTTGGCATGAATACATTGAAAATGTCGAGCTTTAAGGGTACCTTAAACTTATTTTGACTTTGCTCTACTATTGCAAGACTTCTGTCAAGATATTGGCTTCGTTGAAGTATATCACACATCTTCTAAAATTTTGTCCAAGTCCAAATAATTTTTCTCATTCATATTTGATGCAGTTCTTAACATCCTACCACTTGCTCATGCACTCCAGTCTTCCGTTGCAAAAATAAAATTAGATTGCTAAAGACAAGTATGCTGTGTTTTCTATTTTGGCTGCTTTGCGATTTGAACGTGTGACGAGTCAAAACCTCACGGAAAAACAATTACAGATCTCTCTTGAGGTAGATTAATCTCTCCGACATCTAACCGCCGTCCCAGCTTATCAATTTTTGGATATTGTGGATGTACCCTAACGTGGCGCCGCCCCTAACGTGGCGCACTTTGATTTTTCACCTCTAGCGCCTTGCTAGAGCAAAGGTTTTACCCGAAAGTTCACAGTTAGTGAAATTTCATCAAGTTCTAAAGATTCCTGTTCATAAATCGTGAGTTTTCAGTATCTACCCGTTACAAATTTAGCAGAGAAATCTATTTTGGTGCAAATTTCCAATTTTATTTTGAAGTTCAGGGTGAACCCTTTGAAAATGCTTTAAAAATAAGAAAATAATTTTCTGACAAACTAAATAAGAAAGTAATTTTCTGACGGAGTTTACAATATCTACCCGTTACAAATTTAGCAGAGAAATCTATTTTGGCGCGATTTTCCAATTTTATTTTGAAGTTTAGAGTGAACCCTTTGAAAATGCGTCAAAAATAAGAAAACAATTTTCTGACAAACTTCTACTTGGGTAGGCCTATGTAGTAAAGACAATAATGGTCTATCAGAATTTATCAACTTTGAAGAAATTCTGAAGTGTTAACTTGGGATTTTCCGAGGTTTATTCAAGTGTGCCACGTTTAATAGGGAACACTCAGCCAATTTTGTGCCCAATTTCCGGGTGCCACCGTTTTTGAATTTCGGATTAAATTTCAAGAAGACACTGAAATTGTTCGCAAAGGTTCAACAGCGAGCATTATTAAGGTAAAAGTATCAGTATTTAACTGAATGAATTTAGAGTTTGTCAACAAAGAGTTTGGCAACATTACATGAGGACAGTCGGGGCAAATGTTGAAGGGCGCCACGTTAGGGAACACCACTATACCCGTCAGCTTTTCAGGCGTCCATTTCAAGCACATTTTTTTTAACATCCCTATTGTTTAACTTCACTTCCTAATGCTTCTCACACGCCTACTCACTCACTTGGCAGCCTCTAACAAGGGAACGGACAACCGCTGAGAGTTTAGCCGACAGTTGCGATATACCACCGCCCGAGCTTACCAAGGAAAAGGTAATGCAGACACTGGCCAAAAAAAAGCCTCCTTCACGGATAGAGCTACATGTAGAACCCTACCCCTGTAGCAATTTATAGTCAGCAATTTTTTTGTCAAACTTCTAGTTTTGGGGTTTTTTTTCTTCTTTTTTTTTGGGGGGGGGGGGGGGAAATCACACCAACCCCTGTAGCAATTCATGGTCAGCAAACCATTTTCGTCAAATTTCTAGGTTTTTTTTCTTCACTTTTCCTTGTTGTTGTTGTTGTTGAGAAATCACACCAATTCATTGTCAGCAACCTTTTTTTGTCAAACTTCTAGGTTAGTTTTTAGTTTTGTCCTCTTATTTGTTTTTGTTTTGAGAAGGCACACGTATCCCTGTAACAATTCATGGTCAGCAACTGTTTTCCGTCAAACTTCTAGTTTATTTTTAGATTTTTTCTTCTTTTTGGGGGGAGAGAAATCACACCTTTTTCGTCAAATTTCTTTGGGGCTGGAGAATTCACACCAATCTCTGTAGCAAGTCATGGTCAACAACTTTTTTTCTTCAAACTTTTAGTTTTTTCCCCCTTTTTTTTTTTTTTTTTTAGAAATCACACTCTGGAACATTAGGCTTTTTGAAGTACGGCGAACACAATACAATGGCGCTATTTCAAGTGGGCAAACTCTTTTGTATTTACTCCAATTTACCCGCTTCAATTAGCACTGTCGTAATGTGAATGCCGTACTTCAGAAAGGCTTACGGAGATATAAAAAAAAATATGTTTGACCCGCTTTTGGTCCTTTCGGGTCTTTTCAATCTTGATAGAGATAAGCATTTTATTTTTCACTCGTCACTTTCTGTTCTTTAGAAAAAAAATTGTCCACCTGTCACAGTGTTGTCTGATTACCAGAGACGTCAACATTTAAAAGAAGACGAAATGCAGTTACAAAAACAATAATCTTGATAGTGGAGAAAAGACAACAAACTAGACTGTCTCTTATTTGCATGAAAAAAAAGCTGAACTTCAAACTTGTAACAATCGTACACCACTTCACTGCATCTGAACATTCAAAACTTTCAAGCTAGTTAATTACTAATACATGTTGCTTGCCTTCATTGTGATCACTGCTTAATACGCTGATCCACTAAGTCCCGCCCCCTCATTATTTTTGACCAATCACAGCCTGACTTATGTCCGTGTTGGTTGCAATGTCCCAGTGGGCGGGGCTAGATTGGTCTATTGTTTTCATGCTGCGCATGTGGTCACTTCCATTTCATCTGATTGCAACCACTAACTCTCTTAAGAGCTGTAGCTATTAACTTAAAACCTTCCTAATAGTTTCTCTAGAGTGTGGTAAATTGCTTTAAAATCATTTCCCGCGTTTCTACTAATCTATGCAGTGTGGTGCCATATGGTCAATCTGTAAATATGGGTCCACTTTGTTTCCTGTCCCCGTTACAACTGACATCTATGAGTTTATAACTCTGATGCACTCCTTAATGCAGTCGTCCTCCAAGAGTGATTATAAAAAGCAAACTACCTACCCAACAAATAATACATTGCTTGAAGTCACTCTTGATGATACTTGAATGGCAAATTAAAAAGTACCAAGGTAACAGGGACAGGAAAAATGTCACACTTTGGACCCTACATTTATCCCACTGACTGATTGACTCACTGACTGACTGACTGATCAGTTGTGAGCCGGGCAGTGCTATTGTAGGATTACCCATAACTCCAATGAATGGGCTCAATCCAGCCCATCGTGTAGACCAGATGCATGAAATGACTTCCAGTGAATAGCCGTGCTGGATCAATCGGATACAATTTGGTGTGCGCCTAGACAAGCTTTACTAGGTTGGCATTGTCTTGTTTTTATCGACAGGTGTACCTGAGGCGGAAGTACGGCGGAAAGCGTCGACGGCGGATACCCGTGTTGGAGTCCATCAACACCGATCCGCTCACGAGAGAGCCCGAGCCAAAGAGACTGAGAAGACATGAGTCGCCGGCGGCGAGCGAGACAGAACCGAGCAAGAAAACCAAAGAGACGTCACTGACGAAATATAAAAGTAAGTCATTATCATGTGTCAGTCTGCCTTTTTATGCCCTTCGCCAACATAATTGTATAAAACACTGTATGCTCGTTGCCGTCCGGAGGCTTGCAAAAATAAACATTCACTTGGGTCGCACTCGAACCCATGACCTCCAGCTTAGTAGGGCAGACGTCTTACCACTCCACCACCGAGCTTGCCGGAGTCGGTTGGCTGGTTCGAATCTGATACAGACCAATCCCGGCACGCCGTCAATTCTATCACGAAGGCCCCCATCAATGGCGAAAGCATTGTGCTAGCTATTGTTCCGATAACCAGTCACGGGGCAGTTGCTTTGTACAATAGCATGTACAATGGTTTCTCCATTGAAGGGGGCCTCGTGAGAGTACAGTAATCACGTGTCAAGGTCGTACTCAGTGGGAAAGCAAACATGTATGCATATTTGTGAACATCAAATTTTTCGCGCTGCAGATTTGTAAAAATTGAACACATTTGAACTCCGAATTTCGTAGTATTTCATTTTCTTTCTTGACGTCAAATTAGCCTCTGATTCGCATTCGTGTGAAGTATGGACTTGCCCTCAGAGGAAACTTGTGCGTTATTTACAAATTACTGTTATTGCACAGGTGAAATTTCTCGCTGAAACCAGTTCAGCTGGTTGAACAGGTTTCAACTGGAACCAGTTGAACTGGAAATTGGTGACTGGTTGGAACTGGATTAAATAGTTTTGAACTGGCATAACTGGTTTTCAACCAGTTAAACCAGTTCCAAACCAGATAAACCAGTTTAAAATCAGTGACCAATTTCCAGTTGAACTGGTTTCAACTGAAATTTGATCACCGTTTCCACTTTTTGGTGGTAAATGAAATGGAAAGTGATTAATTTGGTTTTCATTTTTGTATTGTAGTTGACGGGAGAAAGACGTACAAGAAACGCCAAAGGCGGAAAGTTGAACCCAACGGCAGCTTTGATTCGGAGGACGACTTTGTCCTGCCAGCGAGCACAGCTGCCGGTAAACTCAAGAGTAACAACAACAACGAAGAGCCGAAGCCCGTCACCAGAAAGTACACCAAACGGAGCAAAACTGCACCAACCAAAGCCAGTAAAACCCAACCTCCGTTGCCAAAAAACGAAGAGCCCGTGACCCCCGCCTCTGGAAAACGTGGGTGGCCTAAGGGGGTCAAGAGGGGCTCAGCAGACACTAAAAACAGGCCACTCCAGCGACGCAAGAAGAAAAAGCAGCGTGGCTGGCCCTGGAAGGGCAAGAAGCGGCGGGTGCCACAGCATCCGGAGTCGGACGGTAACGACGCGGACGACTCAAACCAATCAGATCAGGACGACGATGGTAATAGTACTGCGGCATCTTCTAGAAGCTCTGCGTCCACTGGAGAGTCCTTAACGTTATACATGCTGCCGCAGACGGCCGCACGCTGCAAAGACGGCAACTGCAGCACCGATGATGATGAGGATGACAACATGGACGACTGTGAACAAGTTAACGGCTGTGAGGAGGCGACAAGCCCCTGTGAGGTCCTACGTGGGGGTCTTGCACCCAAGGAGGACAGCCTCGTGGTCAAAGTGACCCCAATCATAACTCTCAGTGATTCGGACTCGGACCTCGACAAGGAGTTACCCACCAATCACGTGGTCGACAAGCCAAAGGATCATCCCCCCAAGAGTAAAGAGTTGGACTCGGACTCGGACTTGTCCGACGGGCCGGACAGCGAAGACCAGTTTGAAAGCAATACTATCAATAACTTCAAAACGGGGTCGGAGAATGATCTCGACGGATACAAGTTTGGAGAACGGAAAGCTGATTCTCATGATGAGAATCGTGATGAGCCCGAGATCAGTGTCTTCTCTGATGAAGATAGTGACGATCAGTGCCAAGACAATGAATCAAATAAGTTTGCCCTGAGGAGGAATTCTGAGGATGAACAACACTCCTCTGCTGAAACATTACAAACCAAGGTCAAGGAAAACAGTGACAGTGAGGAGGAAAATAATGTCAAGCCCTCTGAGGAATCCAAGAATGAAAGAATACACGAAGAGAGTCGAGAGATTGATCCTAAGAGCGATCACGAGAATGACAACGTCGTCGAGTGTCTTTCAGAAGATGAGGTTTACCAGAGCAAAGACAGTGTCTCCGATAAGGAAGATTCCACCAGCTGCAGAAAGCAAGATGAAGCCACACTCATGGAGACGGCCGAAGCCGTGGAATCAATCATGGATGTGAGCATGGTGCAGGACGAGGCAACGGAGGCAGTCATGCGGTCCTATGAGCAATTTGAGGCAGAGAATCCGCTTCCAGACGATGAGCATCCAGACGTAGTGGATAAATATCTCAGCCGCGATGAGGACGAGGAGCAGACAGTGGAGCCCGAAGAGCCCCCTGTGGAACAGGAGCAGCCAGCTGTTGAGAGGCAACCTGTGGTTGGAGAAGAAGTACTAGCGAGACAGCAACTTAACGAAGAGGAGCGTGTGGAAGACTCGTGTCCGGGGATTCCCGCCAATGATTCCCTGCATCACGATTCTCCTGAACCATGTTCTGTATTTACGGACCTACAGTCACCAGACTCTCTACCCATTGAGCCACTCCCTATGCAGGATCACAGAGATGCTGTTCCTCCAGAAGCTCTGGTCCAGAAACCGGTTCCAGATACTGTTGGACGGCAAGATGACGTCGACACCCAGGAATCCTTGTTGGCAACAATGCAACAGGATGTTGCGGGTAGCGTGGAAAGTCGCACAGGAGCACAAGATTCGGGTGAAATAATGAGCATGGCAAGTAGGACTAACGAAACAGATTTGAGCAATGAGCCACCCTATGGCAGTATTCCGATGGAGACGGAGTGCTCGGCACGTGGACCGTCTGCCGTGCAAGATCTTCAAAGCGATGCAGTGATGCCAAGACAGTTGTCATGCGAGCAGCTGGAATCTCTTCAACATGAGCTGCCTTCTTGCAGACATGTGCAGATGCCGTACCGCAATACCTGCATGCAGATTGCAGAGATACCCTGCGACCTGGAGCAAAACGAGATGATTGGTGGCAGCGGCGGGATTGGGAATCAGGTCATGGGAGCTCCCAACATGGGCGCCTCACAGATGACCGGTCAACCGGGTTTGAATCAGCAGCCTGTGTGCAGTCCGGGCATGAGTAGCAACAGCTCTCAGGTTTGCAGCCCCGGTATGGTAAACCAACAACAGCAGCAGCAGCAGCAGCAGCAGCAAGTTTGCAGTCCTAACATGATTGCCAGTCCACAGATGTGCAGCTCCAATGTCAGTCCGCAACAGCAGATGCAGCCTACCATGAGCCCGCAGATGCCCAGCCCACATCAAGTCAACAGCATGAACAGCCCACAGATGAACGTCAGTCCACAGATGTCGTCTGTTAGTCCACATCCTGTCGGCAACATGAACAGTCCGCAGATGAACAGCATGCAGAGTCCGACGGTCTGCAGTCCGGCTGTTAACAGTGCGCAGGTTCTCAGCCCGGCGATGGGCAACGTCCAGGCGTGCAGTACCAGCCTCAACAACACACGGGTGCGTAGTCCGGTGTTGAATAACCCCTCGCGCAGCCCGGCTGTCAATAACGTCCAAGTGTGTAGCCCAGCCATGAGCAACGCTGTTTGTAGCCCAGCGATGAGTAACTCTGTTTGCAGCCCCGTGATGGCACCAAGTAATAGCGTCTGTAGCCCTGGGATGACTAACGCTCAGGTTTGCAGTCCCAACATGGGGAATTCCCAGAGTGTGTGCAGCAGCCCCCAGCTGAACGGAGTTCCTATCAACAATCAGGCCTGCAGTCCGCAGATGGGTAGTCCGCAGGTGTGCTCCCCAGGTATGGCTGCGCAGCAGGTGTCCTGCATGCAGGCCAACGTGGTGAATTCGCCCACGCGTCGCAACAGCAGCAAATCCAATATCAGGTATGGGACCCAAGCGTCCCGGCGGAAGGCGACCAGTTGCAACATTGCTAAGCTGCAGAAGATGACCAACGATATATCCATGCCAAATGCATCCATGACAGTACCGAGGTCCCCGAAACCCACGGCCAACCTCACCCCGCCCCAGAACGCCACGCCCCCGTTAATACCCACCACCACCCCGCCGCCACCGCTGCTGCAGAGGAAACGCACGCCGCCCACGCCAAGCACCCCACCCATGCAGGCCAAGAGAGTCGCTGCCGAGATGCAGCCTCCGCAAGTGGCAGCCTGGCCGCGGATGCAGCAGCAACAGATGCAGCACCAACAGCAACACCAGCAGCAGCAGCAGCAGCAGCAGCAACACCAGCAGCAGATGCAGTTGCAGCAGATGAGCAATCAGATGAACGAGCCGATGGCTGCGCACCGAAGCATCCCGATGGACACTCAGATGCAGCATCAGATCCAAATCCAACGGTTCGGCTACCCCCACCACCAGCAGCAGTACCCCCAACAGTACCAACTTCATCATCAGCAACAGCAGCAGCAGCATCAGCAACAGCTCCACCAACTGCAACATCAGCAGCATCCGCAGATGCCCAACCAGAACATGTCCAATCATCCCGCGCACCTTGCCACCACTCCCACCCACCTCCCCACCGCTCCCACCCACAACAACCCAGCATCCCCGCACTGCAACATGCAGCAGCATGTCGTTTGCAAGAACACCTACCCAGCCGCCCACCAGAACCCTCCCCTGCGGCAGCAGCAGCAACAGCAGCCCCCGACCCAACACCACAATTACAACTACATCCAAGGTTACCCCTCGCAACCGGCAACCTTAAACGGTTACGTTGGGCACTCCCAGCCCGTCATGCACAACGCGTACCACAACGCCGCTCCTGGGTACATGGAGCCGCCGTCAGTTCACATGGTCAACATGGGACCACCCCAACACGCACTCAGGTCAAACCACTACGATAACGAGATGTACCAACGCTACAGCATGGGCGGCCACGGCCAAGCAATGATGAGACGGTAGCGAAGCGAGAATCCCTCCTAGGGTTTTAACATTCATTCAGTTTTACCAAAAGAGACTAGGGAAAAAATTATTGAACTTTGGGGAAGAATGCAAAATTTAACAAGCGGTATCTGGAGGCTGGCCGGGTGCGTGACTCATGATCAGATAGTCAGGGGTTCGCATCCAGCTGCTGAACACCTGTTGTATCCTTGGGCAAGCCACTTTACCCCACTTGCCTCTCTCCGCCCAGGAGTATACACCGACATTAGCTGGGAGTAACCTGCAATTTCGTGTCAATGAAACCGGAGATAAACGCTGCCCTTTACTACTACCATCTCGAGGTTGAACTCCAAGGTTCCCAGTAACACCTCGTAAAACTTTGAGGTAAACCTTGAATACCGCCTGTTAAATTTTGCATTGTCCCCCATGGCAAGTGAGTTTTAACAACCATTGTGAAATGTACAAGTATGATTTTCCCTCAACTGCAAAATCAGATACCGGAAGGCCACTGCTAAGCTTACAAACTGAAGCGATATTTTTATTTAATTCATTAGTTTTTCGGCTTCGCGAAAAAGATACGTCTTTGCGAAAAGATGAAAACCTTGATCAGTGTAAGGCGTAGCCAGGGTTCCCTTCTGTGTAAAAGTAAACTGTTTTCAGAATGTCCTTTCCTTTTTCTAGCTTTTACCAAAAAAATTTAGATGAGATAAATATGAATTTGAGATTTTTTTTTTTTAAGTAGTTGCAGTTGCACACAAGTACTGAAAAATAGTCCGTAATATTGTAGGTGTAACAGATGAGAAATTAGTTGTCTGGTTTCAATTCAACTGTAGTAAACTAGAGGCGGAAAGATCATAAAATTGGCTTCAGATAATTTTTAATAGCAATTCCATTTTAATAGCATTTAGAAAAGGCCTTAAATCCACGTAGGATCATTTGCAGTTACCCAGAAGAGTACCTACCGATTTGACAACAGAAACCTAGCTCAAAGTGACGATAGGACTGGTATCAAATACCCTGTGAAATTATTCGGCCTGAAATGGTGTCATTTGGGAGAAAACTAACATTGAAGGTGGTTTCAAAAGAGCGTGCCAGCAGACACACTTTTTAACAGGTGTTAGCCATGACATCCAGGTTGAGACCCGCACGTGCATACTTTTTCTCCGTTTTCTCCGTATCCACTGAGCTGAATCTTCGACAAGTTAGTCGCTATACACCCTACTGAAAATGTAGAGCAATTTTGTTGCTTGAAACGAAAAAACAAAATGCACAAAAAAGCAAATGGTCCTACGTACCTTAAAAAAATCTTGAAACAGACACAACTTAGTATCAACTAGATCGGGGCACATCTTTTGAATACATATAGACCGATCTACTAAGTTCTGCACTATGATGTCCGACATGTGTTCACATATGTCTGACATTCATACACAAATGTCCGACATGCGTGCGCGCACGTATGACGCGCATCTGGGACATGCAGTGTGGGTACCAGAGAGGCGCGCGTGTTGTCGCCCTCGTGGGCAGGGGGCAAGTTCGCGCAAGAACTATTGTGTCACCCTCATGGGCAGGGGGCAAGTTCGCGCAAGAACTATTGTTAACCATAGTTCGACTAAGTTAGCCCGAACTCTGTCTAGTCGACGATGGTTGACTACGCTAGTCGACTATTTGGAATCAGTCTACTCGGCCTGGTCGCATCGCTGGTTATCAATAGCCTCGTTTCGTTACTTAAGTGCAGAGGGAACCATTGACAAGAGATTAAACGTAGGGAGTTGTACTACCCGCTGGTGGGCCTCAGAGATATCTTCTGGTTCATTCAACAGATCAAAGAACATAAACAATCCAGACATATTCGTGACCGCCATATGTTGACAATGGTTCGACTAGAGTTGTTCGCACTTCAATGTTACAACGCATGCACACTGTTTGACACCAACCAACCAATGGTTGACTAATGGTTGTAGCGCGAACTTGCCTGGGGCTTGATAGATTGCTGTCAAAAAAGTAATGTCGACATTTTTTGTGAAGTTTTAACTGATTTTTCTGTTGAAGTATTCAGACCTTTAATGAAGTAAGTCTCTGTGTAAATGATCTGAGATGCTTCACTTCACTTACTCAGTCAAAAAAACAAACAAAAAGAGGAATTTCTTGTATTATAATTAACATTAAAAGATATATATAATATATATAATAATAACGATATATTTATTGTACAAAAATTGTGTTAATTTCAATGTTTTGAGTAGGAGGATGTTTTTGTGTACTCTTCTTTCTACGGCGAAGTTGATCAGGACTTTTTTGTGTACGTCGGTTTAAGGTTTACATATGAAGGCGTGTATATAATGCTTTATTTTCCTGGCTAGGTACATAGTCTGTATATTAAAGAGACAATTTCAGGTGTATTTTTCTCAGAGATACGGTAGCCAAAATGTTTCTTTCCGGAGAAAGTGTATTTATTATTTTGCAGCTCTTCTAAAGAGAACCAAAAAAAATTAATAATAATAATTCAATTAGTCCGAGGACTGGAATGGTATTCAAGATATTTTGCATTTAGATTCAATTTTTTTTTTTTTTGGTAATTACTTAAGATAATCGTTGAATTTTGAAGATGTGTGCTTGGTATTTTTTTTTTTCTAGGCCGAGATAGTAGTCCAGTGGTACAACGATTGGGTGTCTCGTTGCATGTACATATTTACATAATTATTATTCTATCAAAAGTTTGTGCATTCGTTGTATAAATTGTTGCAAAGAGGTCACATGACAAAATACTGTCGAATCCTAATGAATTTATTTCTTGGGAGTGAAAAAAAAATTCACATTTGAAATATAGAAACACTGAGGCCTTAGTACAAATGACAAAAAAAAATTGTCATAGTTACCAGTAGAATCCTGAAGTAATGAATATAAGAAAAAAGTTGGTGGTCATTACTGATTTATTTTTTTCTCTTTGTATACACTATTTTGAGATCCAAGCTGTCGTACGATTGTGTTTAGGGTAATCACCAAAAAAGAATTTCACCAGTGGATTTAAATTATTTGCATGCCTGTGTGTGTTAGATGACATATTTTGTGGTTATGTTGAATTGTGAGTGACCATGTACTACTTTTAGGATTGTCTTTGTTTTTTAATGGTACTCAGACGTTCCACTTTCAATTAGACTTGTCCCAGTCTCCCCTACTGTCACCTTCAATTAAACTTGTATTAGTCTCCTCGTCCTTCACAAATACATATTAATAGCCATGGTGTAGAACTTGTGTGCTTGATTGCAATTTTTGATTTTTGAGGACCCATATGTCTGGATTTATTTTATCTCAAACTTTTGTCGAGCGTAACCAAATTGCAGCTCAGATTTGTAATTTAGATCAAAATGGAGACAACTTTGCCAGACATTGTAGTATACAATGGCCAACATTTATTTTGAAAATTACCCCAGAAAAAAATTGAGAAAAAAATTGTGCTTTTGAGTACAAAGACCAAGCAATAGAACAGCAACAATAACAAAATACAAGCTTCACATTTTGAATAAGCTTTGGAAAATTTATTGACACATTGTTAAAAAAGGCAAAACCAATTCCGTGTGCAGACTGGAAAATGAGCCACTTCAATGAAAATGGCACAACTCACCACAACCACTAATTTGAAAAATTCAAAATTCCTGTGGAAGACAAGGTGTAATAACCATTCACATGAAACACTGTTTTTCCCCTCTATACTCCATTTGCCACAAAAAAATGGTGGCCTTGGGTCTAGATCATTCAGACTCGCCCTGTAGATGTACAATGATGCATGAAGAATTTCGGTCAAGCACACTATGTCTTAAAGGGAATGTACATCATTGGCTTTTGCTGTAATTTTCAGAAATGAACTATTTGAGGGGTTAGTATTAAATATCAAATATTGTTACACTGACATGTTTAAAGTATTGCGTTCGAAAATGCTGGGGGGAAAAACAAGAAAAGCAAAAAATGTTCAAGTACTCTAGTTCCCTGACTCCACTAAATATGAAATGGATCAATTTATAGATGCCGGAAAATTGTAAGGTAAGGGAACCAGTCTAGCTAGCCTGCACCCGTTCATGAAAATGTAACTAATAGCAAACAGAATTGGGACTGGGAAAAAATTGGTAAATTTGCAGCAGAAGTGGAAAAAATAGTAAGGTTTTTCCAACGGTGGCCGGACGACCACCGTTGGAAATGTATACAAAAATACAATTTTCTTGAAAATGACTTCACACCAGGTGCCGTAATTTTACAGGATGCTTTAGACTGTCATTTACCAATATCCTAGGAAGGTATATCGTAAAAACTTGGTAGTTTTATTTTTCGATGTTTGCAAATGTTGTATATCCCCTTTAAATATCCGCAATTATGCATACATGTGTACCTTCGTTGGAAGTATATGTATGCATTACAATAAGGCAAGGTAGATACCACGTTCACCGCACTTGCCATTTATGAATTTCAAGAGTTTTTTTTTAAAGCACTATTTTTTTTTCTTCTTTGATATGGTTTTGTATTCTGTTAAACAAATATGGCTTTTGCCGACAAGTTAGTTTTCTTGATTTGTTGAAGTGATCACAGAGTATTTTTTATTTAATTTCTCTATTTTACAGTTAAACTGGCCACTGAATTCCACTATTCACATTTTTATCTAATATGTTAATTTTGAAATGGTCAGTTTTGTTTCGGATAACATAGTACGTTTCATTTGTCGACTGGCCCTTGTAATATTAAATACCAGCGTGTCATTTTTTATTCACTATTGTCAATTTATTACAAGCGGTGATATTACACGAAACAATTTCTCCCTCTTAAAAAAATAAGTGAAATTTAGTTATCGCTTTATTTAATTCAAATAAGAAAAATGTACTGAGAGATGGATAATCTCTTCTTGTTTTTTTTTAAATTTTGTAGTGATTTTTAAGTTATAAAAAGTAAAATATTTTAGTGTTCTTCAATCGGCATAGTTAATTGGTGAAATTTTGGGATTTGTCGGTTGAAATGTTTTTGTTTTTTTCAGTTTGTTGTAAATGTACTACACTTGATGTTTATAATTATTTGCACTTTTGGTTTTTTTTGATCAGGTAGTTCCCTTGTGTTTGTAAATGCCTGTACTCATATGCGTGGCTTTTAAATAGGGCACAATTTTGTTTGGTCTCACTTATTTCTTGTATATATGATGAATTAAATTAATCTTTGAGACTACAAGAAAAAAAAACTGTTGTAAGAATCAGAGTTTTTTGTGCTGCTCCCCCCCCCCCCTCCCCCCTCCCTCCCCCCTCCCCCCCCCCCCCCCCCCCCCCCCCCCCCCCCCCTGAATTTCTAATCGGTTACGTATGCCATTGCTTCTAGTGCCCTTAAAAAAGACCGACAAAATAGGGAACTGCAAAATGAAGACGAAATGAAGCCGGTGTAGCATGAATTTAGGTTTTATGAAATACGGACTCATTGGTGGTATAGCCAGGGGTGTGAAATCTCAGCTTTAAAGCTGATTTCAACTTTTTTTGTTTTGGATTTCAGCTTTTTTCCCTCACTCACGTACAAAAGTATAGGAGATTTCCAAAGTTCAGCTTTTTTACACCTTTTTCAGCTGTTTTCAGCTATTTTTATCAGTGGTCACTCACACCCCTGTATTGTGCATGCTCATGCAAAGATAATTATTAATTTTTTTCTTTATTTAATATAAAACAAATTAGGAAAAACGATACTTTTTGGTATTTTTTTAATGATATAAAAGAAAGACAAACAAGGTTTTCCTTTTCCTTTTCCCTCCCTGGTTTGCCACTGAGGGCGCCCTTGAACATTACCGGTGATGGGGGGCGCATCGTGTGGATTTTCAAAAATTTATGAGTGGCATGCTGTACCATGGAAATCAAGGAGATGCGCGAACTTGGACCAAAATACTGTTTATATCACAAGTATTCTGTCTTTTCCGCATTCGTCTCTTCAAAAAGAAATGTATGAAACGCCTTTCCTTGAGATTTAGAAAGTAGAATAAAACTAGTCCTCGGTCTTTTCTGAAATTTTACAAAGTGCATAAATCGACTCGAGGTGAAATCGTTATAGCGCCCCCTTTTGACCTACGGCTTCGATCGAAAAAGTGAAAGCTGAAGCTGACGGAATGTCGTCTGCTAGTGCATAGTGCTAGTCGTGAAAATTCGTGGAGCAAGACGACCACGCAAATCGAGGATGCTAAATTGAGTTCGAAATTCGAATGTTTTTCGCCACTTTTTGGGCAAGGTTCTGACTGTAGCTGGACACAATAAACAGGTACGTTTACCTTGGTTATACTTGAAATGGTAAATTTACTGCGCCTTTTTTTGGAAATGCAGTGAACAGATTTTGATGAAGTTGCTTCATGAACATGACGAACGTGATGATTTATTACGAATGTTCGACGATAGATTTAATTTGTTAGTTTAGCTTAACCGTTTAGGCCGGGTTAGATGGGTGTCGGACGCTTCGCCCCATTTCCACGTCGCCCCATGTCACTTCGCCCCTAACCACTTCGCCCCATCCCCACTTCGCCCCATCCCCACATCGCCCCATCTCCGCTTCGCCCCATCCCCACTTCGCCCCATCCCCGCTTCGCCCCATCCCCACTTCGCCCCATCCCCACTTCGCCCCATCCCCACTTCGCCCCATGTAGTATGAAAAAGGTGAAGGCTAGTCTAGGGGTGCAGACAAAATAAACTGCCAAAGACCCCAGATAATAAATGCTCCCAATTCTAGAAACTCAGGAAAAATACAAACTCTCTGATGTGGTGCTAGAGACACAGATGAGAGATCCCATTCAGAGACGCCTCTCCTATTGGCTTGTGAATAAAATCATCAGCCGCTGGATTCAAAAGAATCGGTATGGGTCAGTGAGTTAAAAGGAACTCACTGCCTTGAGGAAAATGTTCCGTCAAAATTTGTCTGATATGTGACACTTACAACTTCATTTAGATGAGATTGGTTCCTCCAAGAGTGAAATTAGGATGTCAAAGGTATTGTCGTTCTCAGATAAGTGGGAGACGGGTTGGTACTATAGCCGGGTTGGGAACAAAGTTGGATCTTTTACTTCAAGCTTTTTTCTCGGAGGGGAGAGCCTAGCTTGAGAGGTTGGTTATGAATTGTTCATTTGGTGATGGGCTAATTCTTTCCGTTAGTGAATCTGTTGAAATTGTTTTTTTTTAAGCCAAAAAAATAGATGAGATTTTTTTTTTTTTACATTTAACGGTTGGGGCGAAGTGGGGATGGGGCGAAGTGGGGATGGGGCGAAGCGGGAATGGGGCGAAGTGGGAATGGGGCTAAGTGGGGATGGGGCGATGTGGGAATGGGGCGAAGTGGGGATGGGGCGATGTGGTTAGGGGCGAAGTGACATGGGGCGACGTGGAAATGGGGCGAAGTGTCCGACATTCGTTTAGGCCTACTTGAAAATTGCCGACCAATTTCAGTTTTTGTAGGCTTTATATTGTACTATTTGGGAAGAATGTTGCAACCTGACGCCACTTTTTTTTCTTCATATTTCATCTCAATAAAGGTCAGTCATTGCAAAAATGTTAAAAGGACATGAATCTGGGACTGAGAAACATTTCCAATTTTGTTAAGAAATTTTCTTGACTCTCCATAGACTTTGTTACCCGGGAAGTAGCGTCAGGTTACTTCATTCTTTCCTACTATTACTAACTTTTGTTTGGCCTAATGCTGAAGTCGTTTGAAAAATTAAGTAAACCTTTTATTAATGTGTGCAGTAGTGCGACTGTTTTGCAGTTCACTGAAATAATTATTTTGGGTGTTTATTTTGTGTCATAGTGATTACAAAAGCCGTAATGCAATTTTCAAATGCTATCATTACAACATTGTAAAAACACAATGCGAAGGTATCAACTGCCCATCCAACCAAAGCGCTTCGGTATCTCGATTGGTACAGACGTTATAGCTGAATGAGATGCATGGACCCTGGTTCGAACCCTTGCACTTTTTGCAGCACTACTCAATTTTTTTTTTCTAATTTATTTTGGGAATATATTTCTTAAGTTTAATGTTTTTAATCAAATAGTTCTTTTTATTTAAGTAGATTTCATTTTTTCTTTGAAATCAGTGGTTTTGGAGGATTTTTTTTTAAAAGGGAAATAAAGTCCAAGAACCATGGTTGATACTAGTCTGGTTCAAACAGCTGAAGATCGTGAAGTTGAATACTATTACGTCAGGGAACGAGACAGTTCCATAACAATTAGCAGTTAAAACTTGCGTTATGGCTGCCGTGGGAATAGCCACGGTGATTTAGTGTAGTGAGTCATTTTTGTATCACACATCTCTTAAATTGCTGGCATTTAATTTAAAAAAAACCCCAGATGTTCTGCTCTTTGTGAAAACTCTAGAGTATTGTTTACAACTGGTTTCTGATCCGGGATCAATAAGTTGCATGACAAACTGTTGATTAATCACATGGGTGGGCACCTATCTTCATGAGTTGCTCTTTTTTTTTCTGTGGCGTAAAATGGATGTTGACAGTAAGGTCTATTATCACAGAATATAAATTTCTGAATATTCTTTAATTTTTTTGCGTTATCAATATTTTGTAAATTTGAAAGGCTGTGCGTCATATTAGGGTGTGGCCCGTTATATGTGCATGGGTGTCGCCAGGATTTTTTCTATGGAAGGGGGGGGGGGGAAGCAACTTTTTTCTTCAAAATCCTTGTACTTTCTCCAGCAAATTCTCAATTTATAATTTTTCGAGGGCGGGCGGGGGACATTTTCCCACCCCATCCCCATTGACACCCCTGCAGAAGCCCATTTTGTTAAGTGTGTATTAAATTAATGACTTCACAGCTCTTAAAAAAAAAATTTAATTCTCATTTTTTTATATGGCTTTTCCGGGGGGGGGGGGGGGGGGGGGAGGGGAGGAGTGTCCTCCCTTGCCCCATCTAGGGCACACCATGTATAGAAAGTGCATTTTTTTTTGGTTTTATTTTGTTTTACTTGTTTTTTCTCCTATCGTTTTAACTGATGGCCTTATGAATACAATTTCTAGTATGGACTGCTATCTTGCTTGTAAATTATTTAACTGCAAGTCAGATTTTTTATTGCCCTTACTGATTCACAGACATTGAAACAAAACCTATGGGTAGGGGTCAGAAAATGTGATCAGGGGAATATAAAATACACTGCGATTGATCTGAGAGGATCATTTTAATACACAACATTTTTTGTGCGTGAATCATGGCCTAAGATCAGTGACAGGCGAAATGGATGTTTACTCTACAAATATTGGTGCCGTCATGGGCCACTGCAAATATTTGGCGAGCTAATATCATCCCACTTAATGCCTACAGCTATGTCAAGATTTCATTTTTCATTTTATTCAAACCCTACGCATCCGGTTTTTTTCATTTCATTGTGTCATAGTTTGGAACTCGATCTGTAACCCTAACCCCCTAGGCCCTTTTTGCGAGAAACCATCCTCAATCCTCCAGAATCTTCAAAATTTTTGCAACAGCGCCTAAATCCTTCAAGACAGTCCTGCCTCAAAATGCATTCATCCTCATCTTCAAATAGCATTCATCCTCAATCCTCCAAAATCCTCATGTGCTTTAAACACCATTCATCCTCAATCCTCCCAAATCCTTGTGTTTCTCAAACGCCATTCATCCTCAATCCTCAAAAATCCTCCCAAACCGCAACGAGGATTTTGGAGGATTGAAGTGGGTTAGGGTCGGTGGTGTTTTTTTAGCTGCTCAGAGCCTGATGAAAACGATCCCATTATCCTGGTCGAAACTATTGAAATCACAGCTGTCGCACTCCGCGGCCTTATTTGGTTTCGGCACGTGACGCGAGCCATTGTTCGCTTTCCTTCACAATCAGCGGATTAGCTCTGCACGGATAGTATTGATTCGGCACTAGTAGCCACCAACCCCCAGATGGTTTGCACCCTTTGAAAGGATCACCCGTGTCCGACATGACAAGATATAACTCAAACGGTCGCATCAGTGCACACGTCTGCTCACCTCATGGACAAAAAAAGGGGCCACTTGCAGGCATTATAGATGCTTTGTGTACAGTTTTCATTGTGGTGGGCCTTTTGTATCCAAACGGATTTACTGCTTAGTTGGTGATGTGTGACAATTCAGGACAGACAGTCTACCAGAGGGAACAAAAAACTTGTCCTTAAAGTTCCTGCCTTTTGGAATCAGATAGGGCCTACGGCTGTGCCATCAGCCCTGAGGTGAAATTTGCAGCGGAGGTTAAATCTGCAGCCTACTTTCAATCTTTTTGTGTGTGTGTGTGTGTTTGGATTGTGTACTAAAAGATGAACTTCAATCATGCTTGAAAACTAACCTCGCTGATTTCTATAGTTGCTCAGAAATAAAAAGGTAAGTTGAAAAATAGCAAGGTCGGTAAAATGTCGCTTGAAACATCTTTTTTCGGGACACAATTTGCTGGAATCTGTTAATTTCAAAACTGAAGCACCTTGTTTTGCAGACTTGTGACATCAAAAAGTAATCAGAAGGATATGAAGAAAAGTGTTGATTAAATTATTTGTTTTGTTCGAACATTTTCTAGCAGTTTAATGAAAGGTAATTAATGGACACCATTTGCAAACGTTAATGTTTTATCACAAATTTCACCCATTTTTTGGTCTTCTTGTTTGTTCGTTATTTGCATGCAGAAATGTCACTCAACTCCAAGGCCAAAAAAAAAAAGTCTCCGGTTTCTGGCATGCGCGTGCGTCGCCGTAGCCATGCACGTCGGCAAAATGAAAAAGTTTTTTTTTCAATGAAAGATGATGTCTCAAAACCGCCAAACTCACTGGTTTGACTGGAATCCTGCTGCTGCACAATTTTAACGTGTTTTTAGATGGGGTTATGATCGAGAATAAGCTTTAATGTAGCTTCTCTGGTCTCCCATAATATTTGCACTAAGTTTAGTCGGGCACCATTTGCAGTCATCAGCCGACATTTGAAGCAAAAAAAACAGGTTAAAAAAAAAAAAGCCGCGTCGCCGCACCACTTTTTGGGCAAGCTCCATACCAGAAACCGGATACTTTTTTTTTTTGGCCCAAAGTACTTTACCTTGTTATATTTGAACTTAATACTCCTTATTGTAAAAATTATTTCAATATTTAAAAAAGCCACAGAGGAATATTTGCTATTCACTCTGCACAATTTCTCTCTGTGTATATTTTTCTCACCACTTCATTTGAAATCGCTCAGAGCAATGCAATTACCGACACTCATAACAACGGCGTAAACTGCGAAAGGAAACCAACAACACCTGCGGTCGACAACGATAATTGGAATAATGCCGTTGCTGTCAAGGCTATTCCTTCCTGCATACAGAAGGAGAAAACGCAGAATTTCTAGGCCTTTTCGCGCTATAGTCTCGCCCTATACCCATGTTGAAATTAGCACCGGCCCATCGTAAGCAGAGCTGTGTGCCACCGAATACGGCCAGGCAAGGCATACCGTTCACACTTACACCGGTAGGCCTACGGTGTGTACAAGGGTCGGCTGTAGATTTGGGATGTTCTACGCGGGTAGAGCCTCCCATTACGCTGGTCCTCCCTGGTCCTAACCAGGGTTGTATTTAAACACTGTCAATATCATAATTCACAATCGGAAATCCAATATCAAGAATATTTGATATCGATTATCCCATGTAAAATTTAAATACCATAAAGATGACAGTTTGATTAAAAATAAAACAACCAAAAAAACCCACACAATCTTAAAGCTATAGTCCATCATTTGCAGCCATCCGAAAAAGTAACTGGCGTATTATTGTTGAAAAACATACTTGGTTGAAAGATAGTAAGTGGACTAAACTCCCTGTGAAATTAATCTTTCTGGCAAGCTATCATTTTGAAGTAATCAAGGAAAGAAGGCCTTTCCAACGGTGCGTCTTAAGACGCACCGTAGAAAAATTTAAATTAGTTGTTTGTTTTGTTATTCGGCGCAGCGCGCGCAAGCATTGGCACGACGCACAGGCGTGCGCGGTTGCTATAATTCGTCGGATCAGTGCGCAACATCGCGTATAGCTGCAATTCAAAACAATTCAAAACATGATTCAGCAACTTTTGATTTGAAATCCTAGAATGCTGTTTTTCTCAGAATATACAGCTGAAGCTGATCTGAAACTTCATCAGGTTAGTTGTTCAGTATCCTTCGTTAGATTTTGAACACTTTTGTTGCTTCAAACGAACAAAATGCACTAATTACAAATGATGGACTATATCTTTAAGTCCCAATTTTCCCCGGCTTTCTCTGGAGCATATTGCTCAATCTTTTTAAAACAATTCTCAGCACTGACAATTTCGTCCAGAACGGGCGGTTTCTTTTGAGGTTTTGCACTGGGGAGGTTGCGAACGCAGAGCACAAAGCGACGCCGCTTGGCATTTTGCGATGTCCACTCCACCCTGCGCGAACTGTATTATCGTTGAGCCGAAAATAACTCAAAATTTGTCATGTACTGTAATTTTTCCATAACTAAACACGTGCCAATTTTGTTCACTCGATGCCTCAATTCAAAGTCAATAACATTGGTATTGCAAAGAAAAAACTTGCAATTCAAAAATAAAATTCACATTTTAGGGAAAAACTTGAAAATAACACTGACAGTGCATCTTTAGTAAATAGCTTTTGTTTTGCTAGAAAAATGGTAATTTAAAATAAAATATATGTACATTGTATATTTTTCAGGAAAAAACTCATAATAATACAAGTACACTTAGCAGTAAAAAGTGCAACATGTACCGGTACTGCATAAATTATGCATAAAACCTCCATTCCGTTCTGTTTCCATCTTGTCAACAATGAGCCATTGAAACAGATGATTAAAAATTAAACACAGGAACCATTATGCCGACAGTCGCATGTTAAACAGTCTTCTTTTCCAGTGATGAAAACCCAACCGTTTGAAGGTCGCTTCTGAGCAAAAATTCTCAGACTGTCAAGGGTAACACCCATAATCGATATTCTGCAAGGCTGGGGAGTTTTTATTTTTAATCAAGGATGCTCGCAGATGACCGCGACGGTTCACTGAATTCTCGCGGCTTGTTTTTCTGTGTCTAATTAAGTCAAATTTATTGTGCAGTGAAAGGGAAGCCGTTGTACTTTAGGTCATTTTTTAGAGAGGCCTGGCAAGCAAATGGATACGGTTTAATAGTGCGTTGGATCATAATTTGTGTGGCCTTGTGACTGGACTACCCGCTACGCATGTACCAGCAACGATATATTACGCCTTTTGCGTCAGTGTGATATGCAAAGTAAATTGTTGATTTTCTCTTCTGATAAGTTATTTAATGATGATAATTTGATTGAAAGAGAATAAATTGCTGGAAGTTCATGAATTGCTGAAAGTTTGTGTGCCATTTGTTTGTGTTTGAAAGCAGGATTAGCCGCAGAAGTTTCGTCTGCAACAATTACGCATCCACGGTTTTTCATTTTTTCAGCATCAAACTTCAGGGCGTTATGTAAGATTCTCGAAGATGCCTCTTTATGTAAATTTCATAACCTTCCTGCTGTCTGAACAGTAACAGACAGTCAAAAAGTGAATCCTCGTGTCACTTCTCTAAAATGACTCGACTCGACTCGAGTCACAAAACTCAGTGACTTGATACAACTCTGGTCCACCTACATGATGTGAAACCACGGAATGGTCGATAACAGTGTTACGGATACCTAAACGTATGCCAACAGTATCCGTTCTGATTTAGAAACTTCTCTATGGCTGAAATTTCTATGTTGTCGGTTTGCATTCAGAAACATCTATAGAGGATTGAACACACTTTTTTATCAAAATTGCTGCATGATATTCCCCATAAGAAAGCCTTAAATTTAACAGGCACAAGAATTTGATGATTCACAAACAGCCGTACAAGTACTTGTAGATAATAGACCAATTCTGGATGAGGGGGTGGTACCGTCTCATACCATAGTTACCATGGTAACTACGTGTAATAAAATAGAAGGCTATTACGTGGAGCGTGTAAGCCAATGATGCTTATTACTTGCCCGGTAACATTATTGCTAGACTATCAAAACAAAAGGTCATTTGTCGACATATTTTGGGTATATGCATTAGCTTGGGAAGATGTGTGCAATATGACAGTATTATTATTGCAAATGAGGCCAAATAATGAAAATATGTATTTAGCGCCCCCGCCTGCTTCCCTTTTGGAGGCCGCCCCCTTTTTTTTTTTCTTTTTTTTTTTAAAACCTAAAAAATGATAAATTTTAAACAGTGACATCATTTTGGCCACTTTGTATGTTGCATCTAGTCCATATAAAGCTGTTATGTCATTTCCTGAGTCCAAGAGCAGCCATTAAAAAAAAAGCTGGCGGCCATCTTGAAAATTAGCCTGGCCGGGCGGCCGTTTTGGAGGGGGGGAGGGAAAAGGGCCTCCTCCTTCCTTTTTTTCAAAAAGGCAGGACGCTAAACATGTTTTTTTCTTATTTTGCCTTGTAGTACACCAACAAGATGTTTAGTTTTCAAGGAATACGTACATTATCCCTAAATGTAACCTTCTGAATTATCATCAAAAAGCTTACTTGGATTAAAGATCGTACTGGTACTAAACACCCATGAAATGATTCTGTCTGGCTTACTTTCATTGAGAAGAAATCAAGAAAATGCAGGGGATTTCCAACAATCAGTCATGATCAGGAAATAAAGATTGCTACACGTACCATGTATCGATGACAGTTACTGTGTTTAATGATCAAAAGGTTGTGCATGGTTTTTCCCTGTTTTCTCCAAAAGTGTAGGCCTAATCCGTCAACAGGATATGTTTTGAACATTCTTCTTTGGATTTTGAGTGGTGTTATTATTGGAAACGAACAAAATGCATGCACAGCATATGATCCTGCTAAAAGTGATAATATTTTCCTTTTTATATTTATAGAACGGCCTCTGGCTTCCTACCTTTAGATGCATTTTGTTCTTAAACAAAACCACCGAGACGTTATTGTGATTTACTTGGGCACCCATGAGTAAACTGCATGAAATGGCCAGTCCAAGCCCATGTCAGGTTGTTTACGATATCACAAAATTCAGCCTTCCTCAAATGACGGTTGGAATGGCCAATTCTGTGTTTCCCATCAAATTTATGGACCGGTTTGGAAATCTTGGATATATCTATTGTGATTCACTCAACAGAATAACTTCTGTCTGTGTTCAACCATTTGCGCTGCCGTTTCCACGCTGAACACGTCGTTCTGTAAATTTAGGGACCTAAGTGTGACATTTTTTCCTGTCCCTGTTACCTTGGTATACTTTGTAATTTGCCAGTCAAGTATCATTAAGAATGACTTCAAACGATTCTTTATTTGGTGGGCAGGTAGTTTGCTATTCATAATCACTCTTGGAGAATGACTGCATTAAGGAGTGCATCAGGATTATAAAAGTCATAGATGGCAGATGTTAACCAGGACAGGAAAAATGGACCCTAATTTATAAAATGACCATACTGAAGACAATGTTGCAGAGATGTTTTAAGACATCTTTGTAACATTGGTTTAATTTGTGGTGAGCAAAGTGGCTATAATCCCATTATCTCTTACTTTTTCCCCCAGAATTTTAAGCTCGGCATAACATCATTCATTCCCTCCGCTGCATCGCAGACTGTGTGTATATTCCCGACACAGAATGACGTCTTCCAGCTGTGACCGCACAACTCCCCTAAGTAACCAACCAACGCAGTCAGAAAGCAATCAGTGAATAGTTTGAGGGAACACAGGAGACAAGTTTTGTTTCAACCGGAGACTGAACAAAATTTTGCAAGAATGATGGCGGTTTATAGAAGGGACGTCATTGCAGAATTCCTGCTGTGCGTTGTCGTACTGCTGTGGCAGATAACCCAACATCATTGTGGAGGTAAGATGTTGTTATTTTTTGGTTACATTTGTCCCCTATTTTCTTTCTTTCAATCTGGATAAAAAATTTATTATTTTTTTTCAAAGCCACATAGGATCGTTTGCAGTTACACGAAAAAAGTACTTACCGATTGAATGACAGAAACCATGGTCAAAGTGAAGATAGGTTGGGTATCAAATACCCTGAGAAATTATTCTGCGCGAGTGACAAAAGATCACTTGAACTGAACAAATGTTGGAAAGATTTCCATATACGAAGTTCACTAATTTTCCTCTGTATTGACTAACAAGCCCCCAGATAGCAATTTCATGTCATCAAAGTCAATTTGAGCAGTGAGAAAATACAAGCATTTTCTAAGAAAACACTTAATTTTTTTCAGTCCAATCTCATAGGGTTTGTACACAGGGTGTTGAGTGAACGTCGTATATGGAAATCTTTTCCAAATGTTTTTGTATTCTGTTCATTTACAAAGAATTTGTTTACTTTTGAAATCATCCAATTATAACTTACAGTAAAGATTACCTCGCCCAACCCTACGTACCGGTACAGTCCATCAAATAAGATAATTCCCCCAAAATTTCCACACCTAAATTGTGAAATGACTTCGTGTTTTCATCAAGGCTTTTTCTCATATCTTCCCATTCACCAAACGAACCCACGGATAAAATAGATGTACATTGTGTTGCAAGCTGACCTCAATTAATTATGGATATATTCTATAGTTAGCCTTCACTCAGGCTAACGGGAGTGATAAATGTTTAATAAATAACCAGAGTGACTTGCCATGCACTTTGCTATAAGTTGGTACCATGGTAGTGGCACCAAATTCGCCCTTTTCGGTGCATGGAGACATCGGCCAAGCGTGACTTCATTGACAGAGGAAGTCATCAAGTAATGACCTCTGTTGACTATGTCAGTCCAGTGAATGGCTGCATTAGAAATTTTATAAGGCTAGGGCTAGCAACAACGCACGAGTCTATGGGAAGTTGCTATAGCCGCTACCACAGACACTCGTGTAATTATAAGCCGTACATGTAGCCAAGTAATTTACCAGTGGCTTATATGCGGTCAAGCCTTGTTTTCCCCCAACTTTTTAGAGGTGTATAGTCAATATTAGGTTTTGCCCTTCACCGACCGATAAACACTGTATACTCAGTGTGTTACTGGTACCACCTGAGTGAAAATTGGAAAAAATCAGTCGGGTGGGACTCGAACCCACGACCTCCTGCTTTCTAGTGCAGACGTCTTACCACTCGACCACCGAGCTTGCGGGATCAGTTGGCTGGTTTCCTTTTTACATTTTTTTGGGGGGGGGGGGAGAGGTTGTTTGAAAAACAGACAAAAGAATAATTTGCCAAAAATATATTTAAGCATTATTTTTTATTGTTTTTTTTTAATTATAATGTCCCCCCCCCCCCCCCCACGAGCCCTAGATCGAAATTTGAAAGTTTATCAATTCTGGCTTGCACGTAATGTCACATGGTCATTCTATAAATTTAGGGTCCACTTTTTTTCCTGTCCCTGTTACATCTGACGTCTATGATTTTATAATTCTGATGCACTCCTTAATGCAGTCGTCCTCCAAGAGTGATTATGAATAGCAAACTAAGGTACAGTCGAATCTCGTTAGTACAAACTCTGTTACAATACAAAATTCTGGTTATAACAAACACAAAGCCTTGGTCCCGACTGTGCATTTATGTGCACAATGAATGGGACCGATGTTCCTCTTAATTCAAAATTCTGATATAACAAACAATTTGGCTAGGTCCGAACGAGTTTGTATTAATGAGACTCGACTGTACCTACCGGCCCCCAACAAATAAACATTAATTTTAAGTCATTCTTAATAAAACTTGAATGGTGAATTATCAAGTACCAAGGTAACAGGGACAGGAAAAATTTATAAAATGAACCATGCGGAAAAAGAATTTGCGTAGCAATCAGAATTGGTAGAAACCCGTAACAAGAAAAATGGAATTGTCCAATCTGCATTGACGTAATTAACAAAGTGGACACAGTGCGCTAGCTCAAGACAGCTGCACTTTTGTTTTTCTTTATAATTGTGCTCGGATCGGCGTGTTTGCTCTATAAATACATACACCGCCGTGCATAATTAGCATATGTGAGTACAGCCGTTCATTAGTGCAATATTGATTGCGATCAACGCTAGTCCCTTTCGAATCTATCGCTACTTGATACGATCATCACAGTTGCCGATATTCTAATAAGGTTGCAAGTGGTACTGTTTCGTAAACCCATAAAGGGGCCATCTGTTTTAATTAATCGCAGATGGCACGATAATTTCTCAAGCGATCCAAACAACCTACATGTATTGTTGACAAGAGCCGGGATGTATCAAATTGTATACATTGCGACAAGGGCAATTCTGATGTTATGGAAGAAAATGTAATGTCCGTGACAGAGCCCATTAAAAATGATATCTAATTAATGATTCAAAGAAATGATCCAAAACTCCTAGTCTGTAATCTCCTTGACCATTACTCTTTATAATAATATAATGTGGTGCTTATTATCATCGCTTTATACCAAAGGTTTCTGCGCTTCACAATTATTACCCCTGTTCATCACGCCATGAGACCAGTTTTTGCTGTATACATGTAAGATTTGAAGATTTTGTTCGCTGAGCTCTTAAAGTACCAAAAAAAGTCTGATTTGTGACATCAGTGGCACTGGAGTTCCTATTAAAATGAATTCATTCTAAAAAAAAATCATCTTGCAGGTTTAAAGGCATATTTAAAAAAAAAAATCGCTGAGGTCTTAACCCTAACTCCCAGCAAAATCCTCCAACTGCCTCCATGTGAAAATTGCATACAGCCTCAATCCTGCAAAATCATCTGTTACTTCTTTAATGTGGTTCTTGGTGGGGTGACCACTGCCTCAATCCTGCAAAATCCTCCGGCAATCACTGTCAGTACGTTGGGGCAGAGCCAGTGACATCCTGGAGCAGTGCAGAAGATTTCAAGTATAATATACCGGTAGGCCTAAATTTAGGCACGCCTGAGCATAAACAACACAAGGTCAGGCCCAAGACCAAGCCACACATTGTTGCCATATACATGTAGTCTCAGTCCTGCAAAATCCTCCATTTTGCAAAGAGCATTTTTTGAGGAGTTGGGAAGGTTAGAGTTAAAGTACCAAAAAAATGTCTGATTTGTGAGGTCAGTGGCGCTGGAAATTGCCTGTTACAACAAATTCATTAAAAAAAAAAATCATCTTCCAGGTTTAAAGGCATATATTTGTTGTACAGTCCGAATTATTCATTATTTTGTGTAAGGGAGTAACATATTTCAATGTACATGTAGAGGTTTCAGGCTCCTATCACACCGTTTGTCATTGGAACAGAATTAGTTTTTTAATAAACGAAAGGTCAAGTTCAGCAGACAACTTTGTCGATTTTTACTTGTATTTTCACCCTTGAGTTTGAAGGGCATTTTGTAACCTCAAAAGGCAGTTTGATCGTTTGACATTTCATCTCGCCGACCCAATGTGCCGTCTTCCATCAAGCCCTGAATGCATCAATCTACCGAGTAGAGCAATTACCGTGCCTCAGCTTGTACATGTACGTGTAGAGTAGGCGGTCGGACAGAGAATCCAATCAGATAATTAACCAAAGGCTGCCTTTTTTTTTAAGTCATTCTGTCAGGTCATCATTTTTATAGGTAATAGACATCTTAAATTGCAAACGTTCAAAAATGAAACTACCAAAATATTATGAAATATCCTACTTGATTGTAAGTAAATAATAGGATCAAGCATCCTGTAAAATCATTGCGCCTTGTATGCTCTAATTTCCAAGAAACAAGTACCAAGTGGTACAACCCAATGCAGCAGGGCAATTCCACGGTTACTCACGTTACATTTTTGATGTACTTTTGAGTTTCCTTGGGCTGTAATTACCTTACTGAAAAGGTTTAATAACTGTTATCCCATGGTAGATAGAGTAGACCTAGACCTACCTAAGCACCAAAGATGACATCCAGAAAAATGTGTTATGTATAATAAACAAGACGCACAAAATCGGTTACTCACATTACATTTTTGTAATGTGAGTAAATATAGCACAGTCAGTGCACCTTTAATTAAGTCAGATCAAAGGCAAACGTGAACAACAGCCAGAAAGCTAATGCGTATTGATTTCTCTGTATCAAATGCACACGGAGGGTGTCTCTTGCGGATGTGTGTGCCACCCGATCAAAACCAGAGGAGCGATTTCAGGCACTTGAGAATTTAATACTTCAACAGCAGATATGATAACAGATCTTACTAGAGGATAGTTTTGTCTATCATAAGTCATCACAAGTCTACTGGTGATCAATCGCAAGTCCGCATAAGTTCATTACAAGTCCATCACAAGTCTATCACAAGTCCATCACAAGTCCATCACAAGCCTATCACAAGCCTATCACAAGTCCATCACAAGCCTATCACAAGTCTATCACAAGTCCATCACAAGTCCATCACAAGTCTATCACAAGTCCATCACAAGCCCATCACAAGTCTATCACAAGCCCATCACAAGTCTATCACAAGTCCGGTCACAAGTCCATCACAAAGTCCATCACAAGTCCATCACAGGTCTATCACAAAGTCCATCACAAGCCCATCCCCAGTCCATCACACGTCTAATCACAAGTCTGTCGCAACTCCATCACAAGTCAGCACAAGTCCATCCCAAGTCCATAACAAGTCTATCGCAAGTCAATCACAAGTCAATTACAAGTCTATCACAAGTCTATCACAAGTCAATCACAAGTCTATCACAAGCCAATCACAAGTCTGTGACTTCATTTGCTTCAGTTTGATCATGGAGCTAGCCCCATGCTTTGATGACCGTGGGAACATGGTGCTTGTGCTCTTGAGCAAGGCACTTTACCATTATTGCTTCGTCCTTCGGATGGGACGTAAAGCCATAGGTCCCGTGTGTTATGTAATGCACGTTAAAGATCCCAGTATACACTTGTCGTTAAGAGAAGGGG